CTTTCATTTACCCAGGATAAATATAAAAATCTTATTCTATAAATTTTGGTCTAATAAACAACATTTCTAACACACCGGTACCACTTAAACCAGGGCTGCCCAACCTTTTTTTCGATGTGGACACCTAAATTTTAAAGTTGTATGAATCCCAAGTGTTTATTGGAAATAGCCAAGTTAAATCACTTGTTATCTTTAATATTAACTATTTAATTTTGGTGTCCTCAGTATTATTATCATATTAAATTTTGGACTGCCAGGCAGTATGCCTGTGGCATGCCGAGTCTACTATTTTGTTCGGTCCGGGTAAACCAAGTTTGCATTCATTTCGATTCCAATTTTAAATATAATCTAGGCTTGCGCCTAATTTACAGGTTTATGAAATATATTTTAAGTTACGTCAGCAAATTTGAAATTATGTAAATTATAATTTCGACAAAGTAACTCGTAATCGTATTACAAGCAGTGGCATATTCTGGGATGTTCAATTGGAATTTAATTTTATCGAATATCGTTTTCAGTGATTATAAAAATATCGCGCAATTATTTTATGTTTTATCGTAATTGAAGTCATTCCAATGTGGCGCGACAATAAATTACAGCTGACATGAGATGATTTATCAGCGCCGGCTTGAAGTACCGGTACTTATAAGACGTCGAGGACGTTTTGATTGAAAACATTTTACAAGTATTATCGAATATTTCAACATAGTCAGGATAGTCTGGGCGTCTTCGGCAACAAACCTAAAAGCATATTTTGTCGTAATTGATTGTTTTCATCCTAAGTTTCGATAGTGACTGAGCATAATAACTATTTGGTATCCAATATCCATTGGGATTTTATTGTTATCCTGGCGTCACTGCAATATATTTGCGAGACCAACACTTGATGTGTCGAAGTAAGAAGGAGAAAATATAAAAAGAAAATATTTTTAAACCAGATTTAGCATTATTAGGAGTTGAAATATGAATAAGCAAGCCAATCCATCATGAAAAACTAATCATTTTCATTTGTCTGTTCCATTTCGTTCACCCAGTATCAGCATATTCAAATAATTTAAATGTACCATGATTTTTGCAACATGTGTCATCTTGATTCCATACTTTTATGACTAGAGAAATCGGCCAATGTGTAGTTAAACTATTACAATTATGGAATTATTACGTAAACGATTTTGCCGTAATCACGAAATTCAAATCACTTTTTTAGTGTAGCTATGATAGGTTGATTCAAATTTTTTCTTTATTTCAATTCTTTCGTTTATTTCCGTTTCTTCAACAACATATGAAAAGTGCAACAACTTTAATGAAATAAACTCATTTAATATCCCTGGAGATCCACCTGAACCACGTTAGGAAGCCATGACTTAAATTATTAGGCGATATAACAAATTGTAAGTACATTAAGTTACAAAGGGAAGATGTACAAATGTAGTTCAAAACATGATATTTGCAGATAAAATCAAACTTACAGGGATGACTTCTCCACTCTTACCACATACAGAAACAGTGACCTCAACATTCTTGTGAGCTGTTTTCGAACCTTTTTCAAAGTCACCCTGGAATGATCAAATAATGATATTCATTAAAAAAGTTATCTTATTAATTTTTGCATTCAGATAAATTGAATTAAAATTTTAATTTATTCTCCCAACACATTTACAATAATAAAGTGATTTTATTTGTTCAGAAGACGAAAAAATCACAACGAATGGACTAATCGATTTCAGTATATAAAAATGGTCTGTTATCCAGAAGACTATTGTATTTTTTATTTTATAATTGGTTGTAATACTTCATCTAAAATTTATCTATTTTTAAATTCATACAAGATTTGCATTTCATATAACTGAGGATTTTTCTATTTTCAAAGAACATATTTGAGACATTATATTTATTCAATTTTTGACATTTAATTTATCTACCTGAATCAGAGTTACATATAAATCATTCCTGATGTCACCAGGCATAATAACTTCTGGAAATCCCATTTTTCTAGCAACAGCCGTAGTTTTATCGATGAGATGTTGGTAATCCCTCTGCGCAGTCTTCAAATCAGCATGTAGCATTTTCATTGACACCCAAAGCCCTGGAATAAAATGTACAAAATTGATGAATATATTTTTTATTTTAGTCAAATATGGCTATTTGGAATAGATTGAGAAGGCAATGCTGTATGGAGACAAGTAGATTTCATTCCTTCTATAAGTATTAGATTATTACATATTGTTAGATAATAGACAGCAGTCACTCAGTTGTGGAGACCAAAAATGCAAATACATAAAATTTCTATGCATCAATTTTGTTTAGACAACGCAAAACAAAAATAATTAAACAGCAATGAAATAGACAGCTCTGCTGTATATATATAGACAACAATATCAAATCATTTCCAAAGAAAAACAAGTTTCGAAATACCAAATATAATGTAAGTTGGTAAGTCACCAAAATAATTTTTTCTTTGTAAAATTTAACATGATAGAATTTGTATAAGCCTATACATTTATCTGGATACCAGAAACAAAATTCAGGTAAAAATATTTAATATTCTAGATCGTCTTAAAAACAATTTACCTTGTCCCTTATGGTTGAATTCACTTCTTGAACTAATTGTTCTCATGATGAGTTGATGAAGATTTTCATTCTCTCCAGTCACTCTGAGAATAAAATAAAACAAAAGAAGTAAGAAACAGAGAAGGCTTATATTACAAAAATAATGCAAAAATAAAGCAACTGTGATATTTTAAAAATATATTAATGACACCATTTGATTATTTCAGCTATGCTTGATCAAAAATTTTGCCGACTAAAAATACGATAAAAAATTTAAGCTACGCAGTTCAAATTTGTAACAACTTGAACATTCTTTTGACATGTTGAGAGACAGATTAGCAAATACCAGAAATTTAAAAAGGAATTTTAACTGATAATATATAATCAAACTGAGCAGCTCACATTTTTTAAAACTTATTTAGTTTTAAAAGAAAAAAGTGCCTTTTTCTTACTGTTACAAATGCGGGAAAATTGCAAAACTTGATATTTGCCCTTTCCCTGCAATATATTTGCGAGACCAACACTTGATTTGTCAAAGTAAGAGGGAGAAAATATAGAAAAAAATTTTTTTAAACCAGATTTAGCATTATTAAGAGTTGAAATATGAATAAGCAAGCAAGCCATCATGAAAAACTAATCATGAAGCAATATTCACCAAAGTAAACCGATGAAAAGTTACAGGAGTTTAAATATCAAAATACACATTTCCTCATTTTTTGCTCTCTTTTGAGTTAAAGTAGTCAATTTGTAAAACATAAAACTGACAAAACAGAACAAAAAAAAAATTACTCAAGTAGTCAAAAGTAAACGTTTTCTTCATTTTCTCAACAGCTTTCACCATTATGAGTTAAATTTCGATTTGTACACACAAGAACAAGAAAAATATACTCACTGCACGAAAGGAATAAAAGTTTGTTTGTCTTCATCTCTTTCTTCAATTCCTTTGACAATATTAGTGACATCCATCACTGCGATACCGAATGCCCTTCTTAAGCTATTTGTGTAACGTTTTCTGTCTGATTCAGATTTCAAATCTTTTAGTTCCATTCTCCCTAAGGAATAGAATCAAACAATAGCCTTTATTTATTATTGTATGCTTATAGATAGCCAAATAGAAATTTTAATAAAATAGAAAATGAAAAATGAATAATGTGAGATATTGATAATGACAGATATTAAGAACAAATTGACGCCAGAATTTCATCCAAAATGGATATTTTAAGTTTTTTAACATTCTGAAATTTTGTCTTGTAGTGAACTTCCAATTAAAATATTTTATTCACATTCATTTTGCATAAAATTCATGATATTTCATAAATTATAAACATTGCATCATGAAATTTTGACATAAATCAGGACTTTATTGCAAATTTGCAATAGTAGCAAAGTAAACGAAAAATAATAATAAATTTGATTATCTGTATTCAAACAATAAAGTTTTTAGAACTTTCTTATTCTAGAAATTTCATTAAAACTAAATTTTCAGAAAATCCCTAATTGGAATGCTCAAAGGAGATAAGAAATACATAAAAAAAGGTTTAAGATTACTATCTTATAATAATAGAGAATATATTTTTAATAATATTTCTAACTTACCTATTCGAACAATCTGACAAACCAAATATATTTTTTCTCTGGACATATCCTTGCTGCCAAGATCCTGTAAAATAATATTCAGAACAGAATAGAAATATAGAATTTGTTGACTTATAACTGGCAGGGGATATAAAGCAATAGATAAAATAAAAAATATTTTGAAATCTGGGCTCTGCGATACGGGCAGGGATGTGGATTCATCAAAAAAACAATAAAAAAAAACAATAGACTCAGACTGGGGATTGGAAAATATTTGGTTTCGATTCCTTAGAAAAGTTTGACCCTTGACCCCAGCTCTGAATTACAATAAAACCAAAATTAATAACATAAACTTTGGCACTTCCTTAATATACTGTTACGTTTAGTAAACTCATGCTTTTTAAGTTTATGAAATTCGAATTTCTGATATCGGGAAATTCAAAATTTTGACTCTGATGGCAGAATATGATGACTTAGAAAAAGGACTGCAGTAAAATATGCCAAATTTTGAATCCTGATTGTGATACAGAGTCCAACTCATACTAGATATTGATGAAGATGGATATCAGTATTAAAACTTTTCGATATTAATCAACAAATGAAAATCATCATACTGTAAATAAACATTTCAGATTATTTAACATTTCCAAATTTCTTGGCAATCCTTGACTTCCCCATCTCACGAGATAATTTTCACTGAAAATAAATGAGAATGATTAACTTTTTAATTTTTTCAGAAATACAATACAAGCACATGCTGTTCAAAAATGTCTAAAAAGTCACACAAATAGTAAATTTGTGAAAAATAGAAAAATTGGAATTGAAAAAAAAAAATTAATTGCAAATGTTTGCTACCAAGCTTAGTAAAACATACAAAATAGCCAAACTGACTCCTTAATAAATGTGCATTTATATGAAATTCGTCTAGACATTTTATAGCAATTTCACTACCTGATGATTCAAGTATAGACCATGGTTTATTATACCATTAAAAGTATAACATTTTTATAACCAGTCTTGAATAAATAATTACTTATGCAAAAGACTAACTCATGTGATGAGAGATTCCGCAGACACAGAAACAATCGAGATAAAAATCTCAAATCCGAGATCTGCTTATTTCAGCTGAATTAATCTTACACAATACACTGTCTACTACACTAAGGGTGTAATGAGTTGTGGTTACTTTGATAAATGAATCACCATATATACATAGTAGATCTAGGGATGTAAAAAAACAAATTAAACTTGGACACATTTGAAATTGACTATATTCGATATAGGTACCGTAAGTAAAACTTGATTTTAGGAAAAATTTAGATTTCAAAATTTGTCATCTTGAGTATTTGACGTAAAAAGGTCAGACAAAAAAATGAGGTAGTTTTACTTCCTAAACAGCTAATAAGAGAATGCTAATTAAAACAATGTTTATGTCAAACATTCTGCATTGTGAAATTTAATGTCTATGAATTTACAATAATTCGGATAAAATAATCGTGAACGTGACCCATATAATACTGCTAAATGTATTCAGAATAGTAAATTACACAATTTTAACCATTCCTATCATATCAAAGACTGCTTACCAGAAGCTTTGTTCTGAGCAAATAAAATATAAAATGACCATAGACAGACCTGATGAAGCTATGGCTTTTTCCATCATAGAGGGACATAAAAACATCAGCTTCTTCGCCAATTCGACAAACAAAATTCTTGACTGTTACAAACAAGCTGTCAAGTAAAGAGACATAAATAGAGATCGTCTGATAGCGTTTGTTTGTTGTTGAAACCACAAAAACAAATAAAAGTAATATATACAGATTAAGAAAGAAGGAACTTTATTGTACGCTAGTTTGAACATTGAAAAGTTGTAAAATAATAAATAGTCAAATTATGTTCACAATGCCGACAAACTTACATAATTGAAGCCTATTTTCAAATTAAAATTTTTTCTGCTTTTTGTGTTGTCATTTTTTGTATCGTTAGGGTGTCCAAAATAAATTACCTATTTTATCATGTATCAATCATTTTTGAGATATGCTGTGTAAATCATCAATTATTATCTTATACATTATCCCAGTTGAGGAAGACTTAATTTCACTGATTTAGTTCAGCATTACCAATTGAGACTTGAGTTTATATTTGCTATATTTGTGATAAAATGTTAGACATATGATTTCTCGCTTAATAAATAGTTGCTACAACATCACCACCATGCAATGAACAAAACTTAGAATCAGGAAAAACGACCACCCCAAAATCTGAGCCATTTGAAAAACGACTTTGGCTCATCTTCAAGGTAGACAATAATTTTAACTCAAGGAAAGTAAATTTTATTAGCAAAAATTTTGGCAAGCCTTTTTCATTGCCCATTCATAGTGCTTAGTTAACTTAATGCTTTTTGAAATTGCCAAGAATATAGATTTCCATATTCCAACTACGATGAATTCAATTTAGACTTTAATAAGCAGAGTTTGGGGCGGGCTCAGTGGCCAGTCAGCTTGGTACGCTTGTTCACATTCACCACTACCTAGTTTTAGAGAGTTCAAATATAGGACTCAGGTCTACTTCAATATTAAAAAGCACGTACTTCACGGCCTGTTTGATACTCAAATGATTACGTTGGTGATTACTTGGAAGTACATATTATGTATAATTTTAGTCAAATGGTATGAAGTAAGCAAATATAACAAATTATCACACTTACCTATGAACATGAGAAGATGACATTGGATCTTGTACTTCAACGACTTCATTGTTTTTACCCTTTCGATGAAAATCTTCTTCAGCAATTTTACGTTGGATTCTTTGTGCAGATTCAGAGTACTAAAATGCAAAAAAATTCATTTGCAGAGTTCTTAGTTTTTCATTCAGAAACACAATTCCATTAAGGAATTAGTTCTAAGTAGTAGCAAAACAGAACTGTAGGTATACTGTATTGTTATTCTTTCACGCTTCACTGATTTTGTATGTACTTGCTTCTGATAATTGCAGCATGGTTGCTTTGCAAGCTACCGTAATATATCTGTACTGATAGTATAATATTTGGCTGTATTAAGTGATAATCCTTAGTTTAACAACAAAGACTTATAAGCAGTTTAAAAAATTTCGCCAATAGTGTCACGACACACTATTCAGCGCACTTACTATTGCATAAGAGCTTATGCAGAGTGACAAAAGAACTCGATTCTACACAATCACATACTCATATAACATTAAAGAAAGAGGATTTCAGTTAATTACCTCCTCTCATGCACTCAATTCCTAAAGACTCACCATGGTATAAATTTCAACCGTGCTCAAATTATTCACATCGATTGGTTCACGATTTTCGTTTCGAACGATCAGATCAAGGTCAAGAATTCTGTTTCCAAAATCAATCATATCTGCTACTTGTTTTTTTATTGTTGCAAGTTCATCAGCAGGCATTGTTCCTGATACAATACTCCTTCGAATATTGATCAACTGTTGAAGCATACCTCGAATACGAGTGAGTAATTTGTGATTTTTGTTCGACTGTAAAATAAAGAAAATTAAAATTAAATAAGATAAAATTGATTTTCATGTTTATTCAAGGGAAGAGGAAATCCGATAAGATGACTTATTCACATGGCGAACCAAGACCTCTCGTTCGGTTACCAATCCAAGCCGGTTATAAAATTAATTATTTGTGTCAGGCGTATGAACTTGATGGCAGACTGAGTCGTAACCAACCAGCTGTAAACATAAACCAATCTACAACGTGAGAGGTCGAGCAATCCAATTAGCCCCCCATATAATTCGATCCTGATAACCCATGTAGAGGTGAGATGGCATGCGTATTTATACCACTTAGCCCAATGAGGGTTCCAAACATTTCAACAAATCAGAAAAAAAAAAATTCGAATAGCAATTTCAATGAGGAGGTTGAAAATGAGCAGTCAGAAAAGTACCAGCTCAAATTTGATAAAATGTAAGAGCGTATCAGTGATTTTTATACTCAAGATGAAGCTTTTGGCCCAATTATTGGACGAGACGGCCCAGTGGTTAAATAAAGCGTCAGTTGGCATCACAGGTTACACATCTTGGGATCAAGTGTCATGCTCATCACCTCACCCAGTGTGTAGTAAATTGGGAAGGCATAGGTCACAAGATTCTTGCAATAAAATAGTAGCTCATTTCGTAATGTTAGATATCTGTGGCTTCCTTTCTTGTTTGAAACGAATATCTTGAATAATCAAGCGTCAGCGAATATATAACACTAAATTCCATAAATAAAACTGAAGAGCATCATAAAGTTATGAATAGGTGGTAGAGTATGATTAAAAGTGCCAAAAGCTTCTGTAAACCATTAGGAGATTCAGAAGGAATATTAAAACAACGTCATAGTCCACAGAGGCGCTGATTTCAGTTAACTATTAAAGAGATAACTCATATAGGGAGACCAAATAACAAAAAATTTGAGTATTGCAAAATTTTATTGGAGTAAAACTAGTCTTAATGTAAATATTGATAGGTGACACTACAATCACAATAAAGTACTCAATTAAAAAATAATCGTGTTGCATCAGCATTCTATAGAATGTGAATCATGATAAACAAAAAATAATTCCATAATCCTTCCTAATACCTTGTATATATCTTTGCACATTGTTCCCCATTCTCTCAAAACATGAGTCATCTCCTGTACAACGGGAGGCTCCTTGCAACTCACAGTTTCATTTTTGCTGAAAGAGGAAACAATGCAGATATTAACAAAGCTAACCGCAAGCAAAATTATTAAATGAAAAATCCATTGGAGCTAAACAAAGCAATTTATTATAAGACTTGTTTGTAAATCATTTAATATAGTATTTAGAATTTAAAGTAGCCTATTTCAAAAATCGCCATTTTAAGACATGAAATTGGCTACAACAAAAGTTTTTCACCACTGATTATAAAATAAGAAAATCAACAATTACATTATAGGCCTATGTATATTAAATAGAGATGATTCATGCATGCTTTCAGTATACATATGTTCGATATACTATATTGAAAAATATTTTGCTTATTGTATTCACGATAGTAAATATTTAGCTTTGAAATCTGTATTATCTCATAAATTTCCACTTTTACAATCGTAGGTGCAGAAATTTGAAAATAACATAAAAAAAAATAAAAGACAAAAGTATATGGACAACAAGGCAATAAAATAATGTCAATGGTATAGGTTTTCTCATGAATTAGAATGAAACAACAAATCTTGGGTGAAACATTGAGCACCATGATCAAATTAAAAAAAAGCCTTTTAGTGGCTTCAGCAATCTTCAAGTACTGAGAATTTGGAATGAATTTATCTATGCCTATGCTTTCCATTGGTTACAGAGGAAGAATGTTTTTTCCACAACCCCAACAATTTAACAAAATGATCCATATATGTAGCCTACTTTTTCTGTCCATGGCGTCCTAAATATTAAACCTGTCTTAGAGAAAATCGATTTACATAAATTCCAAATGGAAAAAAAATTCAATATTCAATGATAAGACTTTAAACCATTTGAATGTAATACGCAGAGGTAGACAAATTGTAAAGTTGAATTACCTCCCTCGATGTTCCACCACTGCTTCTTTAATATGAATGTAACTGCATGGAAAAATACCCTGCAAAATTGAAATGCCGATTAGCAAAGGGAAATTGTCTTGATACAATGGATTCATGTGTGCAATTACTATGAACTTGGGACCTTTGGACCTTCTCCAATTTATTTACGAGTATGAAAGTGTTGTTGATGTAAGGTTACAGCAAATTGTATATTATTCATATTTAGGACTTAAAAAAAACATAAAATATTTCATTTATATCACATTTTTAATTAGAAACAGGCAATGGCTTGGTGGTTACAGCAATTATTAATTAAGATTCTGTCTTTTCAAAATAAGTAAATCCTTAGGTATTAGTAACTGCCGTAAAGAGCTTTGTTCAAACTAATGGCATGAAAATGTTGTATAAAAAAAATCTACCGTTATAGATTTATCATGGTTGTGACATCCCTTGTACCACAATCCTTCAAACTCTTCTCTTATATGCACAGGATCGCCAACCGATAAATTCAGATGCATTTTATTACCATTTCTGTAGTTGTAAACCGCTGAAAAATATAATTCAGATTCAGATAAGATTTCACAAGTAGATAAGAATCAATATGAACAAATTAAATAAGATTATGCAACGTAGATATTAAGTCACCATTCGGTGGAGAGAAATATGTTAACGTTGCTAAAATTAGAAGCTCTACAGAAAAGTATCACCACAAAAAATCAACTTTTATTATGATTTACCTGCCTACTTTGAGAACAGTCTGTCTCGATATATCAATATATAAAAACAAGAGGTATCAATGGGGGTAACCACGTTATATCCGTGTATGTTTGCCGCAACACTAATAAGTCAATCCTAACATGGGACATCAGCGCAACTGATTGGCTCTTTTCAGATTGGTTTATAGCTCTCAGACATTGATGTAAATCTGTGCGACACAGTTTTCAGATTCCATGAATGTCCTCGATATTTAGATTTATAAAACAAACACTCAATTTGCATCAGAAACGAGGGTCTGCATTACGGGTTATCATAAACTTTTTTCTCTATCTGAATTGGATTACTTTTTTTTCAATTGATCCATTTAAAGATTTTCTAGATTTCATCATGGCGCAACTCAGTTTGCAGTAGGGATTGGTTCAATAAAAAACTTTATTTGTCTCTGAAATGAGGGCGTCTGGTACAACAGCTTGTCTAGATAATAATTTAAATCAATTACAATGAGCGTCAGTCATCATGTTACAGAAATCGCGCTTTTTTTTTGCAAAACTCACAAATTCTTTGGTAAAAAATGGGATCGTATTATCGTTATAATGCTGTATTTGATCTTTTTAAATATCTAGAAAGTCCCGGTATTTGTACTGTCAGACTGTTATAATTCGTGTCCAACTGTAAATTATATTTATTGCCCGAATTCAGGAATCAGATTATTTTTTAGACTGCGCTTTAAAGTCAAATCCTACATGTCCTATCACTTCAAATCTATGATTTAAAGCTCCACTCTATAAACACCGTCGTGATTAAATAAAAATCTGAAAATTGATACATACCAACTCCATATTTATCTTTTGCCGAAGGTATCCAAGGCATCTTGATCTTGTTTTAATCCTCAAATTTAGTTGAAAATCCAGATGAGTAAATCCTTTCCGCTGAGCATTGACAAAATTTGAAATTGTTCACTCCTGCAATAATGCACTTTTCATGTTCCACGCATCACAGAGACAACGAAAACGTCCAAACACTTGAAAGGTTTTATTACAGTATTACCGAGTAAAATACACTAAAAAAATGCATAAATTTAAGATTCTAATGAAACTTTTATACCTATCTGCACCTAAAATCCTAACCTGGGATATACAGATTCACAGAGTAGGGCTCGGCCGATTATCAGGAGTCAAAAATTTTCAAATACGGATTTCGGATTAAGAAAACAGCCGGAGTTAACTTTCATTACAGTTAACGGGACATGTTTATTTCGGCAAATTTTTCATCTTGTCCTGGGTTGATGTTTGTGTTTTTCGAGATGTTGAAAAGCAACTTTTAACAACAACAGACATCCCAACAACAAGAATTTAGCAAAACGATCCATATGTACATTTCGTTTCCAATATTCATCGCAAATTTTGTCAAAATGAATGATATCTTGTATGCTTAACTTTTTTATTGACCTTGGGAATAGAATAAGATTTGTATATTTTATAGTCGATTAGACGGCTTAATCAAACCACGACCTCCCGTCCGGTTACCAGTCTTCTTTTTTAGAATGTAAGAATGTATGTGTTTAATGGTGGAGGAAGTCGTGACCGACCAGCGGTTACGCGAACCACCCTACGGCAGCGAGGAGTCCAGAAATTCCCCTGTAAATAATTACAACCCCCCCCCCCCCCAGGAATTCGAACATTCAAAGCGCGCAGGGTAATGAGAGTTGCGGTGAAGAGTTAATTCCTAACGCTTAACACGATGCGCCACACCGCAGAGCCTTTTAGATCGATTATAAAAGGCATGAACAGACTAAAAAATTTCTGCAAATACCTATCACACAAGGGAGGCTGCTTGTTATTGCCAGGGGAATGCGTTAGCCTTTCTCTACGTTTACGATTCATCGGAACCAAACTTGATCCAGACCGAAGTAATCAACAACGTAATGCAAAACGTGTTTCTAGCATATTTAATAATATAAAAAAAACTTTTTATTTTAGTTTTTTTTCTTTTCCTACGTTTATTTTATCAAATATTCGTTCAACGCCAGACATTTCATCCTGAATTATGCGGTTGTCTGTAATTATCTGGTACACACCTTTAGATGGCATTTGTTACAATTCGTCTAACTAACTGTTTGACAGAAATTTTGACATTCAGGTAGTCATTGGTCCTTATAGAGTAGATAGTTTATTTTGGACACGACCATGGTACAAATAATTTACAATATATAGGCTAAACACACACGATAAAATGCAGTAAAGTTGGCAGATCTTTATTAAATGATGTGCAAAACACGAGACATCAAAGTTTTAGGCTACATGGGCAATCTTTCCTTGTAACACAGAATATATATATATATATATATATATATATATATAAATATGTCATACTTACTAATCGGACTTTATGCAAGGAAGCGTTGTGATAATACCTGGGTATATGTAACCTTCACCTACAAGTAAACCTCGTGTCATTTCCTTTTTTTGTTGTGCTGCTTTTTTAAACAAAATAGTAATGTTTGGAACTAATTTTTGTTCTTACTACGATTACAGTAATACAATGAATTTAATATATATATGATATAAATGTACTCGATATATAATATTATATAATATAATGATTGCTCGACATCTTTTTGGACACGACAAGTGTAGTTTTAGACAAGTCCATATGAATAGTTTTTTCGTTGTTGTTGCTATCTTTGCTGGGATACTTGGGTTGTTGCGACAAATTTTTTTTTTTCAGCAACTACTATACCAATCAATTTTAAATTGTCAGCACTTTATGATGAAAGAAATTGGTAAAAGGATATCACATTTATTTTTTTCTTGTTCTATTTAAAATATATGTCATTTTTCAAAATTGTGTAATTGGTGATTCAAATTAAATAGGTGAGAATCAAAAATAAATTATGTCTGAAATGCTTTAAGCCAAAAATTAATTTTTGTGTATGCGACAACCCAATTTCAATTTCCGCGTCCAACAAAATGCCAATTGGAACCTTATATCCATTCCGAAAAAGAATTTTTTTTATCCACACTGTGACATGACATGTTTTGAACACCCCCATTGGATTTCGTGGATATTCAACAAGTAAGTTTTTATGTGAAATTTCTCAGTTGAGCTCCAACCCATCACATTCAGATTCATAGTCTCCGTAGGAAACTTGCTCATAATTATCAACTTGAAATATGCCGATAGCAAAGAGCATTGTCCGATCATAGATAAACGTAGAATAGATATTAATTTTGTAGGTTCATAACACGATTGTTTTACACCACTACTTTGTTATAAATAACATACCACTTAAGGTTGTGCAGCAGTGTTTAATAGCCTTTCATTATCATGATCAAGATGAATATTTCCAATAATTTTTTTTTAAAAAATGCAGAATGTGCTCGCCAAGTGTCGCTCGCCAGTAGCGAGGTTACGACGTTACGCATTGCGAAATGTACTTCCATGGACGACTGGCTCTCCGTCGCATACGCGGAAATTAAAGTTTTCTAAAAGTCTGGTGAACGTATCGTTTAGCCCGAATAAACGACAAAGAGCTGACTTTCAGTTGTGTTGAACATTTTCGCCCCAGGGCTTCGTGGTGATTACGTGATGGCTAGACCAGGTCCTTGAGAATCTGGCAAGCGAATTCATTTAGCAATAACGTCAGTATTAAGCATATTTTTCGTTGTGATTTAGATTTGAACGCGTAGAATGTTATATTAGATAATAGTGTTTTGTACGGGATAATAATGGCTACAGCCAAGAAGAAATCATCAAGCAAGAAGGGACTAATATCAAATGGATCAAATTCATCGAAATCTTCAAATAAAAAATCAGCCGCTCAAGACCCAGAAAGCGGAGGATGCTTGAGAAAACTTTCTGCTATTCTGACTCGTGTATTATTCGCCTTGCATGCAGGAATTGCGTTATGGAGAGTCAGTTTCGACTATCCAAAAATTTATCTATATTTTCTGTCAATAGGCTTGGTGTTCTTACTGTTTGAAATGGTGTTTACTTTAGCGGTGCGACAAGGCAAAGAATATAAATGGTGAGTACGACTATATTATCTCAATTATATTTGCATAATAAGGTGTATGAGGCAGAGCAGTGTGTTCAGACTGTAGTTTCTGATTTGGAGAGTTAATTGTAAACACAATAATTGGTGCACCACAGTAGTTCTTTGTCAAATTTCAAAAAGAAACGTTTTCCCGAAAAAACTCCTTTGATAAATAATTTCAGAATTGATAAATCATCAATTGTTTTGTCTTCGTAGGAAATTGGATCGCAAACCTATTCGGGTTATATTATTACCCTATCACTTCGACAGACATGATAGATGAAAAACGAAAATTTTTCCAACATCGAGGCACCCAAAACGAACGAGTAGCCCAATGATTCGGCACTCACGAAAAATCGATTAAAACCATATTTAGTTTATCAATCCTGTATCATGCTTGTTTCAGACAACCCCATGGCGGTTCATCTTTGGCACTTACATCGCAAGGATGAATCGTGAATACATCCGTAAAAATTAATTTATGTCACCCACCCCGTTGTCAAATAATTTTTTTATCGAGATTGGTAACCATATTTGTTAACATTAAGGTTGAAAGCGGTAGGCCAAGTAGAAGATTTCAACTTGTTGGCATTTAAACAGTGATATAATCCATGTTTAATCTGTCAACCTAAACTCTTCGGCATAAATCTACAAGCAACTCTTCAAAGATTGCCAATAAAATAACTACAAATGAGATGATAATATAAAATTCGTGCCATAACTCACCATAAGCTGCATGACCTTTTCTTCAAAATCGTTTTACAAACAAAAAAGCTTCGTAAACAATTCGTATTACGGGCCACTGTGATTTTTTTTTACCTGTGTCTTGGTGAAATAAGTGATATTTATTGTTTATTTCTGAACAAGTTAGAAATTGACGAGAAAGATTTAATTAAGCGATTGAAAGTTCAAAACGTACGTAAGTGAAAAAGCATAACCAGCTGTGTACCTAACTTGTAATGGCGGTCTGGCGTGGCCTTTGTTAGAGCGTGATGGGCGGCCGTCAAAGATCTTATTTTCGATATTAATAATAGTATATGACACTACATCCTTACTCCGACCCTGCTTGGTGAAGATACGATAACCATGCATTGTATTATAGAATTTTCAATTGTCATTTTTCCTACATTTACCATTTAAATATTGCCACATTCACATTGGTAGTTTACAATGTATTTAAAGCAATAATTTCCGTTCGTTTCACAGGTTTTGTCCGAGCGTGTTATTTTATTTGATGAGCGTAGTTCCCTGCCTTTGGTTCCTAGAATTGGCTCGATTCAAAGGAGCAATGATTGCGGCAACACAAGTTGGAATATGTGACAATAATGCGACATTGGGGGTTGGTATCTATTTTTCATTTGAGTGAGCAAATGGGGTAATAAAATCTATCAAATGTGTAATGATTCTTTAACTGAAGTCCTGGTTAAATATCATTATTTTTCAGCTTCTAATAAACCCAATGGAGTCTTCAAATACTAATTCATCAAATAATAGAACACGTAGGAGTGCAGACAGTTCACTTAAACTTTTGGAACAATCCCAATACGTACTGAACGAAGTAAGTCAATCTGAAACACTTTTGAAAAGAATTCGGCGACAGTCTGTTGCCGACGATCCACCGAAACGTGAAAAGAAACGTCGAAGAGAAAATCGAAGACGTAAGCCAAAACCCGAAAATTTAATGAATGAAAATGCGACACAAATCACAAAAGCCGTTAATGGAACGAGTATCACACCGACAACGGTCACTACAAAATTAAAGACGCTCTCAACTACTACGAAACTTTCCACAACATCTACTCCTTTGAGTAGCACTCCTACGTCATCGACACCTGTAATGTTCTTAACAACAATTCCTACTGACGTGACGTCATCTTCTGCTGAATTGGCACCACCTCTGATGACGTCGGCATCGACAATTATAGTAACAACTGATCAAAATGATAAAGATATCGGACAAAAAATAAAGGACGGGTTTTCAAATATTGAAAAAGAAACAGCGAATTTGTTGAACAAAACAAAAGACGTCATCGGACAATTGGTAAATACTTTGGAGCTCTAAAAGTATTTACACCAAGATGGCGCACAACCTGAACATAGTATGTGTACCAGGTTTGGGTTCAGGTTGTGTGCCATCTTGGTGCACATACTTCGGGAGCGATAATACTTTTTATTCTTAGCGTAATGTTGTTATTACTTTACAACTCTGGTATGGATTTTGCAATCAAAAGCATTAATCATTGCTTGTCGTCGTCGGTTAACCTTTGTCACGTGTTATATGTGCATTCATTCGAAGCGAGCCATGTAGTGCAAAAAACTGTGATGTAAAAGTCTAACTTTTGACAGCTGGAAACCAGATTTGAAATTATGCTTACTGAAACTTATCAAATGTAAAAAATTGCAACAAATTAAAACAGTCCGAAGTGACAGAACTATGACAGAAAATGATTAAATATTTCACATGATATATGATTTGATAGTCAAACGAAATGTGTGACCAGATAGAGCTTTTTCAAGATAAGTAAGAAGTAATTTTTGCCTGAAAAAAAATTTAGTCTGAAATCTTTGGAATGGCAACACACAAAACGAAATCGTAAAATGGCGCCAATTCAGGAAATAATAACACGGTGCATCCCTTGTTCAATTTGTTGCTCGAAGTGCGGCGAACAACCGGTGAACTGTAATACCCGTCCAAACTTGGAACGTTGAAACCATCCACTACCTTGTTTGGCCAACGAAAATATATTTTTGATCACAAGGGAGAAATTGAACTTAAGACGCAACCGGCGTCACATTTGACGCAATATCAAATTGATATACCGCCTTTGAAGGAAATGGACACGCGTCTTGGCACGTTGATTGCGTTTATTGTTTAGCGGGGGACAACTTGCCCTAAAGCCAAACCCCATCGAAATTTACAGATATGGTATTGTAAGTATTTTCAAAGAGTATACAGACTTGGTTATTTGGTCTCCAGCTAAGTATGGTAGGCGCTATGGTATATAAGTAACTTTGAAAATATATATTTAAATTTGGAAATAAATGACATATTTTCGGACCCAAGTTTTACAGCTAACTGGGAACCTGGTCTTGGTATTAAAAATATTGCTCTGAAACAAAAATTTGAATGACATAATTCCGGAGTTTGCTAACATATGAAATCAATGAACTTTATTCAACAAACTAGCACTTTTATTTATATATAATATATTGTGCGTTGTACTGTATTCAACCCCATTCTGTACGTAACAGACTGGATCGAACTGATCACCCAAAATGAATAGTTACATGGATATAGGGTAGGGCATACAAGAGCCGGTTCAATTCGTTCCCGAAAATCCTTGATGGTTAAAGCTACATTCGATATTTGACGAATTCCACTTAAAACGTACAGTGGTTGGTTTTGTGGCCAATGCAAACTATACATACAACCTATTGAAATACTCGATCGAGAGACAAAAGAAATCACCCAAATGGAAATACGACTTCGTTGAAATTCTATTGACACGGGGCACGTTTATGCTTCTGTAACGAAAATGTGGTTTTGACGGAGTGGAATAAAATGAGTTCTATGAATACGAAATCACGTATAGCAAGAACGATACGTAAATGATGCTTGTTCGAAACTCAAAAGATTGACTTACTTGGAAATTTTAATTTGCTGATTCGGTTTAATTTAGCGGGGTTAACCTGATTTTTCGAGATTTGTGATCTGTCTTTGACTTTATTCGAATTCATTTAAAAAAAAACACTGTAACTGTAATACACAGAAACAGTCAGTCGACGAACATTATCATTCCATTTTTGTCACCTCCAATAGCACTATAAAAATGTCCGGATAAGCTCAAAGGACACGTATAACCAGAAGTCCCGAGCCCAGCAGTATTCAATATTTTATAGAAATAAACTAATTTGGAAGAATGGATTCGTATAATGATAATAAAATAAAACTAAAAATATCAAATCACACAATAATCAAACGAAAAGGGAAGGAAAAAAAGCTGTTATTAGCTAAACGTGTAGTCCCAAGTAGTATTATTTTTTTTAACATAAAAACCTTCGCCTAAACATTTCCCGAAAGCTATTAAGCATTTGGGATGGGAGAATAAAAGGATTCCTCCCAATTCAATATTTTTAACATCACCAAATCAACATTTTGATGAATATAAATTTGAACCATATTGCTTTGCATTATTGTTTTTATGTGTATAACTTCACGTGATGAAGGAAAAATTTTCTTCGAATTATAGTTCTATTCCGAAATGTTTGGGTTATGAACATCAGACGTTAACGTTGCATTTAAGTTCAACTGAGTTCGTAAGTCCGTATGTAATAACAACGCGGACATACAATATCAACTTAACTACTCAGCCATACTTTGTGGTTTGTCGTGCGATAGCTTTCAAGTTTAAGTGGATTGGAGAATGTACACTCAAATCAATACTTATAATCATAATTTGATATTTAATAAGTTCGTAGAATGGCTTTGTAATGAGGCGATATGATAGACAGATTTTAATTATTCAACGTATGGGAACTGTCATATCTCACCAGTAAATTTGATGGCTTTTCAATCAACTTCTGTAATGTTTAGCTTCTGTTTGATAAATATATATTTCTAAGGAGTAATATCAGAGTACTCACAAAACTGCCGTCACAACATTTAACAAATATCCACTACTTTGTAAAAATTCGATTTTAACAAAGCTAGGATTTCGAATTTAATTCGAGGATTTCCAAAAAAAGGTCAAAATTGAAATCGTGAATTCGCAAACAAAGACTTTTAAAACATTCGCGCGATTGCGCCATTCGTTAAAAGGGCGTACTTTTTTCGGGAAATAATAATTTTTCTGTTGCACAAAATACTGAATTCATGGCCGATGCGAGCATATTTAAAATGTCATGCCGTGTTAATTTAATTGCTACTCTGAAATATCACGTCAATCTGCAGGCATGGAAATGCGTGGTATACACTGCTCTATTAAATCTAGTTTTAATTCGTATTTTTACGATTCGTCAAATTTTAGCTGTCGTTGCATCTTTGTCTCCGCTCTATCTGGGTTGGATTCAATTATTCAAAGTGCGTGACGAAAAACAAATTTTTCCCGGATAGCAGTTTTACAATGATTAATTGAGCGATGATTGAATAAAACTCTTAATAGCATAAACAACAATTGTTTCCTTAGTAACGGCTCGGACCAGAAAAAACCCTGTCTTCTTTTTATCTTAAGAGTCAGTGCACACTGAACGTAGGGGGAAGTTTCCTACTTATTTTATCGTTTTGCATTTTTCCATCAATTAATTTATCCAACCGTTTTCATTCAAGAATCGTTGGGTGGATCGAAGTACATGGATTCTACTTCTGCATCAAGTTTTGCTATTCGTTCTTGTTATTGGAAGATGGTTGTTACCAAAAGGAGAAATAACACGCGAACAACTTTCCCAACTATTGCTTGTATTTATCGGTGTGGGGGCAGATATCTTGGAATTTGTAACAGGTAAAATTAAAATGAAATTACGCCAATTACGGCTATAATAAACACTTTTGTGGCGGCGTATGAAATCAAATAGTGGCGCATGCTAGAATTGAAATCGGTTCATGGGTAGACTTTTTGGCTACTTTTATTCGCTTTTTTTTTAATTCGGACAAAATTTCATTATGATTCTATTCCAATGGCAAAATTTTCGAATTTTCGTAATATTCGAAGTCATGTTTAGATTGTGGTGTATCATTAGGTTGCAATCTAAAGACTTGGTATATTCATATTTGATGCCAGATAGCAAATCATTTTTCCACTCTATTATGATTTATTAAATTTGTGCATCTTTGAAATAAGCTGTTTCATGTAACTTCAATTTTCGGAAAAAACTTTCAAATTGTAGCAAAAATTTACGAGTTTCAGCCTCATTTGACCCTCTAATAAGCATGGCGTATTTACCCATGTGTAACATAATTGATGTATAAGCGTTAGGTTATACGCTTCATCAATTTTCAGAATTACGCAATACTTGAAAGATTTCTGGCAACATTAATATACCAAAGTACAAAGGCTCAATTTTTGGTCTATCACATGGATGTTGCTATTTTTTTAACATTATTAATATATTTTTCAGAAACACTCGATGGGGATGAGTTGGATCAAACTAGTTGCAGTTCTGTTTTACATTATGTTATTTATGGAGTTTGGTCATGGAGCCTCTTACAGGTACACTATATGATTCACAATAGGTCTTGTAGTCTGTCAAACTTTGCCATACGTTTAATTACACAGTGCTGTAAAGAAAATAACAGGTAATAGAGTGGATATCGAATTGATGAACTCCTAGAACAGTTTCATCTATGTGTTAAAACACATATGCGACCATCTGAAAATCTTAATAAAATAATCGAGATGTAATTTTTTTACCAATACCGATAACGATCCGATAATGATACAAAGACGCAGATATGCGTATACCAACTTCAAAACATTCTAGTTGAAATAAAAAAACTGGATTTATCGAGAATATCGGTTTATTTTATCCGATACCAATACAATTAACGATATCGCCAAATCGCCGATGCATAGGTACATGGTCCAACCAACCAGTCTCAGATTAGATTATTATCCTTTTGGATATTATTGTTGTTTCTGTCGTCCGATGATTCAGATATTACCAATTATTTTAAAAACACACTACATTTTGCCATTTCATATATTCTTAATTTAGAACTTTGCGTTTCAATATATATCTAAAAAGTTTCTCTTTTGTTATGTAGTGTCAAGTCATAAATAATTAAAATGTTGATCTTATGTACATCATCTTCGAATATTAGGAACATGAAACTCCGTGGCATGTAGTATCGAACATTACTGACCACAAATCCGTCTGTTCCCCTAGCTTTTATATAGAAATGGGATCCAAAACAGGCGATATTTATTTTAATTTATGCGTTGTCGTTTGACATTTGCATACAGGGCTGTCCGGGCTGAGAAAACTTCCACCGGTTTACGTAGAATTAGTCTTTGAACAAATGTAAATTTCGACCTAAAATACTCTGACCTCGACATATGTTTGTCGAGCATTTCAACTCTCGAGTTCGTGAACCTAAAATTCCAATATTTATATAAGGAAACTATAAACATGTATAAGATAAAGTTACCATTGCTGTACAGAAGTATACAACCACAATCCGAGAAGATCTATATTCTATGTACTACTATCCGGATATATATGTTTAAAATAGAATTCAAGTACAATTATACCACACACGCCACCCTGTGCGTTTCATATAGATAGTGAAAATAACTTTTGGACTTTAGGAAGTATATTCGCCTAGGAATTTTTGATTTTTATTTTTCGTTTCATTGAGACAGTATACCCGATTTAGTTTAATTGGTAGCGTTTATCATAAGTTGTTCAGAATCTTTATTGTTTAATTGTACTAAATATATATTCTAATAAATAGGTAGTAGAAGCATTATATACTTATATACCGCGGTAAAGCGCCATAGATACTTGTTTTTCTGACTAATTTCAATGAGTAATGTAGGCGACGAGACAAGAACATTCAGGTACATTCGGTTAGTGGTTTATGCGTAGGCGTCGTCTGCCTAAAGCATTTCATGATTGGTATCCAAAATACGGCCCAGTCGCCTAACCAATATATATATATTGTATTTCGTTAATGTATTGCTATCCCAGTAGTTGCGAATGAAGCCATTTACAATTTCTAAAAATGGAACTTTAACGAGGCGAAATGTCGTATCTTCAAAAATATGGCACTGAACTCCTACGCACGCGGTAATTGTTTTGCATCGGCCTTCCAACCGCCCATACGTCAAAAATCTACACACATCTCTCACGTTTGACCTATAATATACGAAAATTGAAGATTATCTTAACTTTCTCACGGTAAGATGTAGAATCATTATTATTGTTTGATAGAGGTTATTCCATTTTTGATATTTCAAGCTGACGTACTTATTTTTTTCGTTATATCGTTCCTCTAAAACGAAATATTTACGCCATAGTTTTCATTTCAATTTTATTTCGTACATAACCTAAACTTACATTTTTGATTGTTTCAGTTTACGCTGGTTCTCACCGCAAGTAAATCGCGAAAAACGAGGGTCGGATTCGAATCAGCTCATGCCATTGAAGAACAATCCGGAACGGGCTGCTGTGGAAATTCGTTGTTTGCAAGCGCTGATTTATGGGGAATTCTCGTCACCTTATTTTTGCAGGTAAGGATGTTTTGAGAGTATCATTGTATACTGGGTATGAGCATGAACGCTAAAATGCTGTTTATTACGAATTATTTGACCATCCTCGATAACTGTATAAACCTTTCAATGACGTAGCCGTCTCAGTTTCTTCGCGGGTATGCCTATACATTTTCAATATGATTAGCTCATTGGTGCGCCACTAATCCTTGCGTTGCAACACGCGAACATCGTGAGCAACCTATTTCTGTTGTTGGTATGGTCAGCCAGCGTGAAATATGTGAAGAATTTTAATATGTTTCAGCGTTGACTGACCAGTGACCAGCATGTAAAATAATTTGACTTTTACGGTGATGGTACTGGTTATTTGAACTGTTTTGACTTATACCGATAGTTAGGAGTATGTATGGATGTATGATTGCCATGCATTTTGACACTAAAGAATGATTGTATAGCTGTACTAAAAATCGTGGCATCATTCCTATATGGCAGCTCAACAAGCCCTCTGTGGGAGAGGCCATTCAAATGGCGATTGAGGTCATATGTACGCCCAACTCCTAATATGACATGCCACCATATATATGTTCATTTTTTGCGTTGGTATGTTCAATCAAGTGCAATTGATCAAAAAAACAAGTTTTATCACAATTTTCGTTTGTTTATTGACTGACTTTAGTATATCCGTGAGAACATCAACACGTTGTTATATATTATGTTTTTATAATGATCTTGTTGTGGTTTACATGATACACAGTACAGAGAACTTGAATTCATTATTAGCCTCAGGGAAATGGAAGGAGGCAATTATTTCGATGAAAGATCAAATGAATCAATAGGATATTGAGTTTCAATTGAAAATAAGTGGATAATAACATGTTTTCTTTATGTGAAACGATAGGGCAATAGTTGAAATAAATTGAAACTTTGTGGCAAAATTGAGTGGTGTGGTCAAATTTAACTAAAAACAAATGCCAAGTTAGGTAATTCTACTGCTAATTTGTATATTTCTGTGAATGTATATATATGCAGGGTATATGTTGTATATAAATGTGTATATACAGGCCAAAAAACGGGACTCATACAATATGTTCTAAATAGATTGGGTTCCGTTTTTTGGGGCCCTCCATATATAACACCGCACCTAATTTTCCAATATTATAATGTTATAATTAAAATTTTCGATTTTGATTCTTTAATTAATACTAATATGTTGTAATAACAGGGCAACGAAGTTTAATAAATTTCTAGACGCGTTGGGTATACTTGCGTGTACCTTAACGTTAACTTGTATGTATTTTTTTTTAATTCGTTTATTTTTGAAATCTATACAATACTCAATACCGCCACTGACTTTCGTGACTTCAACATATACTCACATATAGTCAGTTTATGGCGATAATTGTAGAAACAAATCGCACCGGTATTAAGCAATATAATCATTTCAGGATGTTCCGTTTCTGGCAACTAGGCTTTATATTCTGATTGTATACGACCTCAAACATCAAATGATGATATTTTTTACTGGGAAGAATGCACTTGTTGTTATACTTCAAGTATACAGGATAATAGTTTTAAAGGTAAGTGCAACACTATCGTAATTTACCGTGTAGTACAAAACGAAGAATATGATGATTTAGCTCTATCTACGATAGTGTGCGTAACGAGGACTAACGCCCAAGAAAGTCGGACATGTACACGCAATTTCTAACAGGCTTTTTCGCCTTGAAAATGCTGTAGGTTGCTGTTCCGTTCAATTGTCTGACTTAGAATAGTTGTAGCTACCTGGTCAAGGTCTCTTTTTTGTTCAGTAGTTACGAAAACTGAAACTCTGTATATATACACAGGGTGTAAGTTTCGCCCGATTTCATAGTAATACCAATTTTAAACTTGAATAAATTTTGTTGTCTGCTAAATGGGGACTACAAAATCCAACATCTATAACATTCAATTAGATACAGGTTGACTATATTTTTTTCTATAATTAAAAAAAATTCCATTTCATTATAAAGACTTTATAATCGGGCAAAACTTTTTGGACACATATGTGAAGCATGCAATTTATTGTGGAAAGCGTGGAAGATAATACATTGCATAATATACATCTAAAAAGAAAAAGTAGAAACACCTTCATTTCATTAATTATTATTGGCTGGCTGTGTATTTTAGTTGTCGCGAAATAAAAAGAAGAAGAACGACATCGACGAAACGGAATTGGAACCATTACGTGGTACGCTGGCCCATATTGCAAGAAGGGCAACTATGGTTGATAACAATGGTACACTACCATCGGGAACTACGGATGACATCCGAGGTAAGCAGAAACAGTAACGTTTGGTTGTCAAGGTAATGATCCTGTTCACTGTATTTATTTATTAGACACAAAGTGTATGTATGGTTCGTTTTGTTACTATGTCGTTGTTGTTCTTCATCTTTTTCATTCTTGGGAAAAAATCGCTTTCTCTTTAATCAATAGACCAATTACTTTGAATTTTTCGGTGATTAAAGATTGTTGTTGTCACCAGAACGCTATTTATTTGTTTCTAAATTTCTTTATACATGGGAACACGTTTGTATGAAATCTTGACATTTCTTTACGCCTCCCTATAACGTAAAATGCCATTTCCATGTTTTTTTACTAATTTTTTGTTCGCATAAAGTGTATTTTCATTTTGGTGAAAAATAAACGACTGACTGACGACTGTTGCCGGTAACAGATTGCATACAGTACCCTGGCTTTCGTGACCATATATTTGCGCATCGCTCTCTTGTTTAAAATGGTTTATGTGACTATTGGAATGGGCTTTGCAATCAATTGGGAAAACACGGTCGGCTTTCACTGAAGTAAAAGTAATTGGGCATTTCTAAGATCTGTTCTTGTTGTCTAGATGCAACATTCAAACCACAGCGAGATGGTTCAGTAGTTTTAAAAATACATTTGGAAGGAGAAGAAACTTTACGAAAAAAAAGACAAAAACAAAGAGCACAATCTTCTGCGGCGTGACAGAGTGCACTGGGTTGAAACTTTTCGAAAGATGTCTCTAGATGCGTTATCGGAATTCGTAATTAAAACGCTGTACAGCTATCGATTTTTTTCAGTAATTTTACATCCGTACACACTGTAAAACGATAAATATTATGCCAGCATCTCGTCTAATTGCAATTTTTGTTGGATAAATTTTGCCACATCTGATGGGGCGAGACTTGAAGAAAATTAATCACATTTACGAACAGGGAGTCCATATATATGGGTGTATTTCTGCAATAAAATATTCTGTGACTAATCCAATCAAGAGACCATGTACAATTCTGTACATGTTATACTTATATTTCAGTTGGTATATTCTTGGCCAGGCCATGACATCGTTACTGTCTGACAGCATTTTTTTTTTCAAATAAAAAGCATATACATATTGCATTAAACTATAATTAAATGCGTGCACAGGTTGTTAATATTGTTATGTTGATATTCCTTCAATAAATTTTTTTCTTATTTTAATGAATGTAAGTTTTTTTTGGAATCATGGTCAGAGTGAGATACAGTACCTCCTTCCTGTTTGCGGTCAATTCGTTCAGGCAGTGGCGTCATACAGTATCGATACTCATGGAAATGAGATGAATAAAAGATTTCGTAATATTATGAATAAAAAAACAAGAACAACTTTGAACGGGTATTTCAGCTGCTGTTGTTGCAACCCCAGTTGAACTTGGATTTGAAACACTCGTGTGGCCAACGACGAATCCATTCTCGATTACATGCTCTCTACATCGCAAATTGATTCGAAAACAGTCGATAGGCACTTCACTTCACTTCGAGAACGATAAAGCATCTCGACAAGAGGTTGGGAACTCTGTCGGATAACATTTTCAGTTGTACTATTCATCCTAAGGGACATGAAAGCGGCATAACTATTTTGCGAACCGCTGCCTCTCTAGCGTTTAAAGGCAATTTTTTAATGCGCCTATCGAATCCAAAGACGTGAACGATGGAGGAAGTCGTGGCTCAACAGTGGTTACGTGAACCCATGTGACAGCGATTGCTGGAAAATGGCATTTCCACGAAATCATATTAAACTGTGTAGCTGTCCGGAGCAATAATCCAACATAACTTTTTTTAGCAACAAAACGTACACATTCGCTACTCTTTCGGCAACGGTATACTGATGCCCAGTTTTCTTTACAAACATTTTTATTGAAAGCATGATAAAAATTGTACAAAAAAATAATACTCATATCCGTAGTCTTGGCAATCGTCTTTTACTGAGACTTATTCTGACAAAATTTCATGCTTTTTCCGCTTGCGTTTTATGGGATCACCCAGTGAATTATGTCTTCGGTGCCTCGCTATATATGACCTCATGGTTTCCACTGACGGGAGCTTGTATGGTGATAAAGACGATGAAACTTCTTGAAGTTTATGAATTGCTACTTCTCTGGGACTCATGGATGGATTTTCCAAAGCAAACAATCGAGCTTCTCTCATAAGTCGTGTGTGATCGGCAACACCTAGTTTAGGTTCATGAGTGTGTGGTCTCGAGTTGCGTACAAATCGATTATTGCTATATTGTGTGACAGCGGCATTACATGATTGTCGTCCTGTTTGTCTTGTAACGCATCTCCAATACATACCGTTTGAATTCTTCCTGCCTTCGGAATACGAATATCCTTCACTGTCGTACAGTTTGTTACCTCGTCTTATGGAGCCACCTTCTAGGATTGTATATTGTAAATTCTCATTGTTTTCATCAGTTAATGGAGTAGTCTGAATTTCTTCTTCTACTTCACGTATTTCAATAAGAACATGATCGTCATTTGAATTGGATGTGTCCAATTCGTCATTTGGTAGAGCAGGAGATGCAATCGCCTAAAATATAATATTGAAATTTTAGAAGAGAAAGGAATTCTTATATACCCACGTGGTTCCGCGTTGTGGCACATTCTGCTGAGTGTTAGGAATGCGCACGCCACTGCACCCCTGCGTGGGTTCGGCTAACTAATCCCATTGACTGGTAACCGGATGAGAGGTCGTAGTTCGTCATATGATTGAGTCGTCTTATCGACTTTCCTCACCCCCAGGATAAATGTGTGAATCCTCTTCTACCTTAAGTGGAATGGAGTACTAAAATGGTCAGGAGACCCGAGATGACCTCTAACGATTTTATATACTGACCTACACAAGACAATGTTTGAACTCTTTTTCTATACAATCTTTCAATATTGTTTTATATTACATGTTGATGTTGATATAAAAGTCCTATCTTTATCATGTCAAAAACTGGGGCATGTCGTCCCAGTCTGACAGAGGATTTGACTTGAGAACCTGCGCAGGGCGGTCAGAGGTGAGATGTCGAGGATGTAGCATGTGACCCACCAGTCTAAGAGCCATAGAATCAAATTTCCATCCATTATTGTGGTGAAATAATGAAAATTTACCTCATTTGCAGCATTGTAAACCTCATTAGAGGTATTGGAAAACTGTTTTAGCATCACTTTTGATACTGCATCAATAACATCTGGATGCGTCAGACATTTAACAAACTGTGTGTATGATAATACATCAAAATCCGAAGAATTTTTCCTACTGTTCAACATAGAGAGGGTCTTCATCTTTTTCACGGGTGACTTTTTCCGTCTAATAGAAGGGTTAATGTCCAGAGCAATTATAACATTCTGTGGTATTAATGGGCGAATCGTTATTGCATTCCCTCTGTTTGGAAATATGACTGTAACAGCATCTTCAATAGAATCTGATGGACAAGAACCGTTGTTCTCATCATTGATATGTTCATTGTACTTTCTCGACTTTGAAACTTCATTTAAACTTTGTAGTAAATATTGTAAACCGTCATCGATAGATTTGACTGCTGAATCGCTCTCATTAGGATTAATCCACGGGAAGTCAGTTGTGGGAGCAACGTGTGAGCAGCTACCAACAAGAAGACGAGTTATGGATTCTTGCAATCTGTTGGTAGCATCATTTTCCTGCAAGAGAAAATATAGCTTTTTATACAATCGCCCGCCTTTATATTAAAAATGTTTCGTGCATGCCGCCACTCGCCACTGACTCGTTAGATTACCAGTCTTTATGTTTATCAAAATTCCTCAGAAAAATATGCTCATGTTCGGCTCACAATGGATTGATCCAAAATGCCGTGTCTCATATGTAACCGCCTGCAACTAATTTTCTCCAAGTTGCCATGATAGATTGTATGTCTCCCACCCGAGACACAACATTTTTGAGACACACTGCAAGCCAAGAAATAGGGATGCGCAGTCAGAGGAAATTTACAATCAACTCAAGTCACACACTAGGCTGAAAAATTCCAGATTAAGAAAAATTTTGACCCCAACTCCAGTTTTCTGTAAAATTTTGACTTTGACTACAGCTCTGAGAAAATTATATTTTTATATCAAAAACTTTGGTGATTCCGGCTCTAGCGAAAACATGTAAAAGTCTAACTTCACAGCCCTAACGAGCATACCTTCCAGAATTTTTTTTTACTGATAGCAAAACAAATTCTTTCCCAATCCAGGAGTCCAAAAATGAGATAATCGAATAAACACTTACCATCTCATACCATAGATTGATGCTTACGCTGAGCTCTAGGTTTTCAACATAATGCCACCAGTGATGTGGAACATACAACATATCACCTGGATTCAGGATGACAACATGTGCATGTGCCGATGAGAACCTTTAAAAAAGGAGGGATATATAACTAGAAATAGCTACAGTATAAATACTAGTAATATTATATTGAGTCCTATAAAACCATATAATTTTATCTTTGAGAAAAGCACATCTTGTTTTAGAATACAGGTCTGCAACCAGTGGGCCATAGTAACAGTTTCAGACGAAACATTAATCTATTAAAAATGGCCAGAGTTATCAATTTGTAAAATTTGATCGTAGTAGTAATGGATGATGATGCTGTTTATTGCTACTGAGTGGTCATTTTCATTTTAATTATCAAAGTGGAAGTGTCATTTTTGGGGAAAGAATTTTTTGTTTTTCTTGTAGATTTTCTTTTACATGAGAAAATTATGGGACATCCCACAAGAGAAAAAAAACTTGAGAACTTCTGTTTTAGAAATACTTGACAAATTACTATATACATATGATAATAGGCAGTTTTATAAACCCAGATTTTACAAATTAGGCTGTAGATACACAGACAACCATCATACTTTGGATGCTTCTTAAAATCCGGTTGCTTAATGTTGACTTCACTAAAAACACTGGATTCCTCATAAGGAATTCTGGTTGGATATAAGCAATCACTGTCAGACGGTGGAAACAGAATCCATTTCTTTCTTCCAGAAATCTAAATATGAAAATGTTAAATCAGAAAAAAAAACAAGAAACCACAAATATATTATGTTGGGAGACCATGTGTTCCTAAAATATTAATTACTTATATTTCAGACTTCTGAAGATATAAAACTCATCTTTCGACTTGTTTTCTGGAAGGTAAATACCCAAATAGTGGTAGCAGTGATATAAAAATGCTGTCTCATTTGCAGTAGATATACAGATGTCAATAGGACATTCCCTCTGAAGTTGCATTCAGCAAATGAAAATTTAACCCTAACACTATTTTAAACTTAAATCATTCTAGTTCATATAATTGAAAAATACCTATAAAGATAAAGAAGTAGAAGATTCTTCAAAACATACCATATTATATAGGCAATTTTAGGGTTACATTTGCTTTTATCACTAGGTATAATCATGATTAAAATGATATTGATTGAAATTAATTCAAAATTTCAATTAACGAATGATTTGTATATAGATATGCTACAGAGTAAAATACTCAATACAAAACCAAATCTGCAGCAATACAATTTTAATGATGAATTCTAGTAAAAACCCCCACCTGAACAACCATATTGAATCCATATGTGTCATAGTGACAAAGTGTGTGAGCTCCAGTAGTGCCAAGCCACATAGTGCTATCTCCGCCATCTTTATTGTGGAATCCTAAACTGTTCCAATCTAACAAAGGTAAAATTTCTGGATGATTTTGAAAAAGATCTTTCATATACATGTAGTCAGCATAACACCAGTAATGTTTATTGCAACAGGCTCCTATGGTTTGTTGTATTTTTTTCTCTGTTCCCTTAGTTGTCTTACAATCCTTGATTTGATTCCATACTAAAATGTCATTAATCGAAACTTCATGAATGCTACACAAGCCTTCCCACTGTACTTCTGAAATATTAAAATTCAAATTAAGAAAATGCTTATGAAAAATTTCTTTGATCGCAAATTACTAACAAACAGACGATAGTAGGTCAGTATATCATCTATAATATATCAATTAGTGTCTAAGCCCTATGATATGTAAACTTCAGTGCATCATGCTGACTGTCAGTTATTAAGTTGGGAACAAGGTTGTCATTAGCCCAGATGGTATTGCAGATATGAATGCGTCGGAAAATAATTAGGAATCTGGGAGGATTTCTGTACTTTTCGCCTCATTAATATGTTCAAGTAACTGGTCGGTTATGGTTTCCCACAATCCAGTGAGTGCAGGAGTGTCTGCATTCGAAACATACGACTGCATCTGCAGAACTGGTTAATTATTGTCATATTTGATCTGATAATTGAAAAGTATGGTTCGACAGTTAGGCCGAATAAGATTTGATATTTATCCTGGGGCGAAGAAAGTCAAGCAGACAGCTAAATCATATGGTGAACATCGGCCATCTTATCGTTTCCCTCATTTTAGAATTCTAAAAGTCTTATTCAATCTGAAATTTTGGTTCTTGGAAAATGATGTTTTGAAGATGTCTAAAACAGTGGAACATGGGGATAAAGCTACCGTTACTTCTGAACTTGGATAAATAAGCAAGTTTTCAGAATTGTGTCTCATTTTACAATTTTAACAAACCGTTTGAATCTTAAAAAAATATAATTTCTATTCTGAAATAGTATATCGGTACCAGAATAGACCCATGTTGCAGTATTTTGGAACAATTTGTGAAAAACTTACCAGATTCGGTTATTTTTCCAATTCTGAATTTGAGAACTTCTTTGGACAAGATCTTGGATAGATTTTGTGGTGCAAAGGTTGATAATTTGACAGCTTCGAAAATCGCATCGGTTTTGCATACACATGGTACCATCTGCTGTCCTATTACACGCCGAAATGTGTATTGTTCGTCCATTTTACTCAAGAAGCTCTGAAATCTGCGACATGCAGCTAATCGCACATACTGACATAAGAATACCAAACGTGCACCTAGTGCGATCGATTCAAACACCGCTATGCGGCACTGTTGAGCAATCAATTTCAGATTTCAAGCTCAAAACAAAAGTACAAGCGTAAATGTTATACAATCTACATATCGTGCAATGTCTCTGCTGCATGTATTATGCACAATATTACTGCATATCGAAAGTCTTTGGTCATTATTTTTCCGATTTCAAATTTGCTTCACTTGTATTTTTTTTTATAAATTTCAGCATGTTTTTTTTTGATAATCTGGGCGTTAATCTCAATTATGTTTACGGTCACGCCTACTGAAAAGTGAATAGTTGCAGATACTTTTTAAAATAACCTTTGCCAGCGCAGTGTTATCGGTGTCTCTGCTCGACATCGCCGCAAAAATAAAATTATCAGTAGCCTATATATATTTATTTACTGTGTCAGTTTTCTGAGCCCTGATTTTGTGTGATACAAATAAATGATTTATTGATTGATATTCTTTTTTACTTGCATATTTGATTCATAGTCTTAGGCATTTGAAGAAGAATATATAAAAGGATAAATTTCACGGCCAAAAATTAGCTTAATCGTAAACCAACTGTGTGTGAAGAATTAGCTGATAAATCTTAGAATGAAAACACATTTCAAATTAAGCAACGGCAATTGACGTCTGAAGTGACATCACGGAATGATATTTTTTGTATAGATCCATAAATACAAATATCCGGACCTCCTGAAGTATGCGCACCAGGATGGCGCACATCTGACTCAGGTTGTGTACAAACTGTAGGCAATGGTCATGGTTCAGGTTGTGCGACATCTAAGACGAGCATACTATCAGGAGGTACCCAAATTCCCTAATCTTTGCAGAATAACGATTGTTATGATTTAAGGCAATATTTACTGGAAATATAAAAAAATCTTCTTACTGCGCACGAATTGCATAGATTAATTTAACCGGCATAACACGAAAGAAATTTTTACAATAAAATATATATTTCATTTGATCCTTTGTCATCCCCAACAAAAGAAATAAATAGTAGCTACTCTAGCGACATCAAATGTCTTATGATCGTTATCTGGTAGATGAACATGCTCAGAGTTATAATGCGTAACTGAACCATTGTTGAGGCACGCTTCTTTGGCGATAGTTGATAGTTGCTTGTTCTCAACTAGTCGACAAGTCGTAAAATCGACATAAGCTTACCGGATGGTGGAAATGTTTTTTTCCAGAAGAAAAAGTGGATCGATTCCACCTGTAGGTTTCGTGATCACTTTGAACCTGGCGCGACGCTAAGTTACTAAAAGGTGTGAGTGAACGGGTCACGATATATTACTGTACTTTGTGATGTCATGTTGCGGTTATCAATTGTCTACAGCTGCAAACGTTTACCACGATCACCCAATGTCACACGCTCTTTTTGACCCTTATCCCGACACGCTAGTTACGTGTTCCTAACATAAACAGAAATCAAACTTAACTTACATTTGAAAAACAGAACATGTAAGTTTGAACACGTGCTATTCGTAACCAATCGAGGCGATTGGTTTCTCATATGAGCAAGCAGTCTCATCTGCTACTCTCTTCTCTAAAATAAATATAAAACTGTTTCTTTCTCGATCCTCCAAACTAGTCTAAACTAAAGTATGCGCACCAAGATGGCGCACAACCTGAACTCAGGTTGTGTACCAGGTTGGGCTCCAGGTTGTGCGACATCTTGGTGCGCATACCTCAGGAGTACCGCAATTATAAAACATTGCCGAAAAGGCGAAAACACACTACAACTTTAAAGGCACTTTGCATATAATGCTTTCCTGTATAAAACGTCACTAAATACGATTTCTCTGCTATATGACCAGGAGTTGTTGACACATCGGTTAATAAATCAACTCTTCGCGACATGTAAGGGTTTGCTGTAATATTGTGTTTAAAAAACGCACGAGGCCTGCTACAGCAAACAAGGTCCATAATTCCGGTTCCATAGACGAGCCACTCAATTTTATTGAATAATTATTGAAATTTGCATTTCTGCAACAAAACACGATATAACAACAAAACAAAATTGCCGTGAGAGCAAAATGAACTGAGCCACATTTGATGGATTTGAATACATAATTGTGAAAAACGCACCAGCAATTGATATATATATGAAACAACACGATTCAACATAAATTCTATATTATTCTGATGATCATACAAAAAGAAGTAAGTTTATAATTGAGGTATTCCACATCCCTGGTCTCTGTGAACACGAAAAGTTTGGTGACACTAGTGGTTTTTTCTTAATAAAAAAAAAACAGAAAATACAAGATAGTAGGTACTCAATAAAAAAAAATTAGGTGAAGGATGAAATTTATTTTATTACTTTTATGTAAACATTGATCGAATTGCATTATTTCTTGTGTGCGACAATTTATGCCTGATAAGCGTCAAATGTCTGAACACCAAATAAAACTACAAACAATTCAATTCGTGTAGCATTTGATTGAAGCCGCCCGATTCGCTGTCATAAATTGTAGTTATTTCTGTTAATTGCACAACTTGAAGGACATCAACGGCAAAGAGCCGCCGATAATTATCGTTCGCAATCGGCACAGCAACAGAACTTCTTCGCGTACTTATACGATGAAAGAACTGGGGCGCGATTAGATAAAGAAAATGAATTGTTACTTTTGTTCACAGATACGTAACTTATAGCTTACAGTGATAACGTATCACAGATATGATAGTTCTTAATATAAATATCTTTGTAGGGCAGTCGCATTTTACTCATTCATCGTGCAGAGTTGGGCGGTACGCTACATTTAGAGACTGAAATTATTGAGTTACAGATGAATATCACGTCTTTCAGAAGCTGAACTTATTCCTGCACGGCTGTATACATATAGGATTACTCGTAGGAAAGATCATGAATTTTACCAAAGGTTCATGTCCTTACTAGACAGTGATGCTGAAAAGTACAGTTAAATTTCTTCATTTTGTTTTAAAAGTGTATTTAATGAATGATACGTCAGGTTTATTAAGTTTTGTTTAGAGATACGTGATACTTGAGCTCAGTAAACAATACAGGCGCTGGTACAAATATCTACACTCGCTAAAATCTGATAATTATACTCCAGTTTTATAGTAATTTGAATGGAAACTCAGTACTCTGTCAGAGAACACCGTGCTGGCCTTGTAGGTACAGTCCCACTCGAAGGGAAGGAGCTGTGGTTTAACTATGTTTGGCTCTGAGAAATTATCTTGTATTCTCGGACACTTTTCTAAAGTACAACCCATTCTTCCTTTATCAAAAATTCATTTTAAAACAATATTGCGCGACTCATTGTATATTGTACATAATATGGTACATGGCATCATCACAATGTATCGGAGCGCAAACAATAGAAGCCGACAAGATAATTTTACCGAGGCGTCAAAAGGCCTTTCATTAGCAAGTTATTTAATTATGATATAATTGTTGAGTAGAGGCTGATCCATATTTTTAAAAATGATATGATAGATTTTAATGAGGTTATTAATCATACTGAGAAACTGCGCCTCGAGTTTCTATTTGCGTTGTCAGTGGAACTAGTACGAATAATAAACAAGTTCTAGAGTGCTGGTAAATTCAGTATTGTTTTTATTGTTTTGAAAATTAAAAGCTCTGAAGAATTTTAGAAGCTGCGAGATATCAGACATAGATAGATTTGCTAGACAAAGTAATGGGGTTTGATATCAATGCTTTGCGTATTTATAATTAAAAATTCAGTACATTTTCGTTCAGGGTTCCGGTATTTGGCCGGACAATTGAGCTGGTTCTATTCGAATTGAGATTGGAAAATCTAGATTACGTTTGCGAATTGCAAAAATCATGTTTCAGAAGTATTTAAAACGTCCAGCGCATAATATATGAGCAGATAATTTAGAAAGATAGTTTTTAAATGTTTCAGAGAAATCAATTTTACGACTTCCTCAAGAAATACACCTTGAGGTTGCGCTTATGTAATTGCTTCCTTAATTGATGCACAACTGTTTGAAGAGGCATTGCGACTGAAAACCCATTTTAAACTGTATTGAATGCATTTTCTAACTAATATTCATTTGTCTTATCATAGATTCATTATTACTAGTTTACATACTTTACTCCAATGGCCGCGGTAGATGTTCTTATCAGCAGTGATAATTTCAGAGAAAACAAACCACTCAAGATGCATATTACTCACCGTATCAAAGAAGACCTCAAAGGCCCCGACGGAGTCACAGGTCAACGGCCACGAGAACTAGATCAATTTCGAGTTGAAAAAACCTATTCCAATGGTAACTTGGGACTCAGCTCAGCAACTGCTTATCAAGCTATTCATGCCCCGGAGCATAGAGGTTCATATTCTATGCTATTTCATTCACTACCGAGGCATGGAGCTCAGTATAAGCAAACTTCAGCCAGAAGTAGGCTTCCAAATTTATTTCAACGATCTTCATCCAGAAATCTACAACGACAATCAAGCCATTGGCGAAATTCTTCCGTGCCGTCCGCTACACTTTACGCATCCACGTCGCAAACTAATACTAACACATTACCAGTTCGGCCAAGTACATCTGCATCAAGACTTTCAGCCTTCAGCTCAGTGCCATATAACTGGACTCCATCGCATGCCACAATATCAGCAACAGGCCAAGCTTTATTATCTGAATCTTACAAAAACAGATCATTTTATAATCCAACATTAGCTAATAAACACAATATATCGTCAGGAACACATTTACCTCATCACACTATCGTAAACTACGTTCCATTTTATGAGCATCGTAGCCGAGGAGATGGCGCGAGCGAGGCAGAATCACCAACCAAAGAAAAGCCGAGTAAGAAAACTAAAACTCCGTCTCCAGATGGAACGACGTTTCAAAAAGAAGTATCAAAAGCTTTGGAGAAAAATACCACAGAAAAAAGAGCACCGAGTGCGTTGAAGTATTCGAGATCAAATTCGCCAGACTGGCCTGGAGCTTCTGCAAAGCACGTATCAACATACGGCAAGCAAGAAAAGAAACGCGTACGTTTCAGTTCAGCTGTAACTGATAAAATGGAGGAACCTCCCTACGTCGAAACTCTTCTTCACTCAGTAAGCAAGAAGCTACAACGTGGAGTTAAAGAAGGCTGGGCAGCTGCCGATGAGTCAAAGGAACACAAGATCGAAATCAAAAACGAGAGAAAAGCTACGCCAAATGAAAGCAATTTGGACGAGGAAGAAGATTCGAGTAATTTCGTGTCCCCAATTACAAGAGTAACTGTTACGAGGCGCAAAATACAACAAGAAGAACAAAACACACGTGAAAATCTTTTGCAACAGCAAGTAAAAACTGTCCATACAAAACCATATTCTCAACAGAAGATTTTAGATTTGGCAACCAAGATTATCAGTAATTCAGTAAATTTGCAAAATACAGCGCACGATAGCACAGAAAACGCAAATGCACCATCGGAAGTACAGACCTCAAGACCTCCTACACGAAATGCGACCGGTTTCGTCGCAGCTCGACCCACGAGGAAAGGAAATATCATGCCTATATCTAAGTATGTACAAAACAAACAGGCAATTATTTCTCCATCTTTTCCGGATCAAGCACCAAAACAACGAAAAACATTTATGTCGTATTCTGCTAAGTTGAATCGAAGCGATGGAGCACGCAAACAGACAAATATTATTGAACCTCCCAAGATTACAAGTGCGAGAGCGCCAATCGTCAAAGTCAACAAAAACTCTGCCGTTAGCTATCGACAAACAGTACCTTTGAGTGGTCAACCACAAAAACAACCAGTGCAATACATTTCGTTAGATTTAAAAATTAATAATTTAGCACATTCTCCAAGAACTTCTATGTTACCGGACTCTCCAAGGTCGTCAACATTGTTGTCCGCACACGCAACACATTTTCAGCCTATTCCATCCATGCCAGATCACATAAATTTTTGTGATCCTGGTAAAACAGAACATATTTTGGAATGGTTGAATGATGTTAACAAGAAGCGTAATATAGAATCAAAATTCAAACGTATTTCATCATCGATGTCTGCCAAAACTGTCAGTTGATAATCATAAACAAACCAAAAAAGGTTAAAAATATCGATGAAATAATGCAGGATACAAGAGTAAACAAAACATCGAGATTGAAAACGGTCACGATTTTTGTACAGTTTACTCCTGCACTAGAGTTGAAGTATCGGCTTATTACAAAAGTTACGTTTTTTTATGTTTATGTTTATTTATTGCACGTTTTTCTCTTTTGATAAAATATTTTCACAATAAAAAATATAAAGATATATGTGTTCAAAAGTAGCTAGGTGAAATATGTTACTGGGTTCAGGAGATTGGAGATCAAACCAACATGTTAACTAGTCCTCAAATAAACCTCAATCACATAAATTCAACCCAGTCAGTCTTTAGGGTCAATAGTAATATAATGAATTATGAAAAAAATTCCGAGGTTCTTTTACAAGAACTTTACTTCCAGAATTAAAATTTAAGAAATGTGTATTCATGCATATCAGAAAACCTATTATAAAACCTTTCGTCATGTCGGATAAAAACTATTTTCGGAATATGACAACATTAATTACTATATATATTTAGATCATTATAGTTTGCTTTTAAAAAGACAAACTCCCAGAATTTCGTAGTGCGTTATAACAAATAACTCAAATATACTGTCCTCAGAGGCCATATATATAGAAAAATTGTGAAAGTTCATTAGTTAGTTATTTAGCAATTTTTATTATCTGCTAAAGATATTTCAAATTTTTTCACATTTTTATTCTTATACAGAGTGATAGAAATGCTTTGGAAGCATAGAGTATACAAATGGACATAATATCCGTGGCTACAGACAAACATTTCCTAATAATACAGTCATAAAAAGTTGGTTTCACAGGTTGTTTTACCATTCTTAGAAATCTACCACGAATCAACCTACCGATGCATTAACATAACAAGGTACAGTGAAACCAGAGGATCCTGTTACCAAAGACTGGATCGCAAAGTAAGTTGAAGAAACACCGGCACCCACTCCAAAAATGATGATTTCAAACAGGAAGACTTTCATGTGGAGACTCAAGCTTACTTGCTTCCAGTTGTAGTTTGCTTCGAATGCTCTGTAGTTATTAGCTGGTCTATGCGGATGCAGCATGTGCTCCGGTAGTGGCCCGTAGGCGTCTTCAGGCTTCTGTTGCCTTGATAATAAGTAGTAAAATAACGGCGGGAAGACCACACAGGTGCAGCCAATTAAAGAGCCTCCAACTAAGGAAAGTATAACGTTGAAATGTGGAATGCTGAGAGCGACGAATAATACAGCAAGCATATAGATTGTGCGAGTCATCACACGCTTCCAAGTGAATTCTGAAAATTATATTTAGTCATAATAGCATCACAAACACTCTAATTTTCTGCCAAAAATATTGATATTATTTTGTTATTATAATTGGTTTTTTTCCTCACTTCCACGAGTTTAATTAGTACCAAAATACAAAACAAAAAAATATTTGGAAAATATATTTTATTAATATATCATCATTCATTTTTTAGCATCTGTCTGGTTCGAGGTAGTATCAAAGTTTCAGCGATTCTGTGATTTTATACTAATAAGTCTCTTTCTCAACAGATATTTAGGAAAGGTAATAGGTTAGAGAGGATCACCTTTAAATTCACAAGTGCAGTAGGCTAACATAATTATGATTCTATTCCACTTACTTTTCTAAGTATAACTGAAGTGAATTATCTGTTTTTCAATAATAAGAAAAAATTTCCAATAATTCTTACGCCGTATATATGGGGTGCCTGGGGGGAATGACAATGGTTTAGAGTAAATATCATTGGGTTGTGAAATCTATCAATCCCGATTGTTATTTACATACATAAAACTTACTTTCTGGAATATTTAGGAAACCTTCAATTTCTTGCGTCACTGGATTTGAAATAATAACGAATGCCATTAATAGATGTGATGTAATCAAGATGTTGATTGTGTACGAAATCCATCCAGGGGACAAAGCAGATAATACGTTAGGCTTCATGTCGTTGCCAAATACGAAATATCCGGCAGCTCCAGCAGGGAAATAGAGAAAGATTACACCTGAGGATTTTTAGAAATTAAAAAAACAATTGACATTGACGACGGTTCTCAGCTCTAGAAATCGTGAATTTTGCACTTAAAACTGAATTGTTAATAATGGAGAAATTTACAATTTCATACCCATTTCTTTTTATTGACAACAAAAATATGGAACACGTTATTTGCGAAATATATATATCTTGATTTGACATGCGTTATTCTTATTTGATAAAATCAGTGTCGCTTCAAATGACACATAAAATCCACTAGCAACACTACGTGCTTAGTTATTGGGCACTAGATGTACCTTTGAGACGTTTTTGGGCACAAATGGACCAAAACGAATGAACGAATTAATTCCATTAAAGATGGTTGAAACGCTAGCAGGCTATTGTACTTTTGAATATTTTTGAAATTCCCTTTGGGTCGGACTCGATATTTCATCAAAAAATTCCGTTTTATTTTAATTTGAAGTGAACGCTTTTTATTTCACCATACCCACTTTATAATATGTTTGAACGGATCCGCCATTACCGGTCCGCCAATTTCCACGCTGAAACGACCCTAACGAAATTTGAGCTATGCTCTTTTGCTACGATTTCAATGCTATAAGTTTACCATCTGGAACAAGTGTAGGGCTGAAGAGCATCATTTAGCGGAGTATATGATTTAGTTACCTACTTACCAATTATTCCCAAAACAACTGCTGTATTAAATTTATTTGGATTTTTCATATCAACTTGTATTGTAGGAAAGCAACTAGCTCCACCAAACGCATAAACGATAACTCCAAATGAATTGAAAAACGACGAGGCTGTTGGTTCTGGTCTGTATGAATCAACATGTTCGGGCGCATCCTGAAATGCATCAGATAGATAAAACTTATTTTGATACATTTGCAAAATAAAGTAATACACACACACAAAAAAATTGAGGCGACCAATCTGGGAATGAACAAAACTTAAAAATAATTTTAAAATGCATTACACGTGTTCACCCACCAAAAGAGAAGGGAAACAAGTCACACACAAACCTAAACAAATGGACATGAATATCGGCGACGGTCAGTACTCAGGCATCTCACTTTGTAATAGGTTAGTATTTTGGAATTTTGATATTTTTCTTTCATATTAAAACATCATTAAGGATTTGGGCCAACAAACTCTAATGAAAGATGGGATACTAAAAATCGAGTTTCTCTGAAAATGCAGTGTTTTTATAATTAAGTAAAACATATTGGTTTTTAAATATACTTGTTAAAAGGCGCTGATAATAATACGAGAAGGTTTTAGGAATGAATCTAATTTCAAAAGAAAATTATTTCAGACCGGATTTAATATTCATCATGTGCTGAATGATGAAGTTTACCTGAACTATTCCAGCTACGATTAACAAAGCTCCTATTGTGGTTGTTGCAGCAGCAATTAGACCTGCATACCAGAAATCTTTCGGAGTTCCAATCCAAGAAAGTGGAGTAAGTATGCAGAATACTATCATCATCATGTAGCAAGGATAAAATCGAATTCCACCCATAGACTGCAGAAGATTTGTTGTGTTGTCGGAAATCAAAAGAAGAAAAACTGTACCTGATATGAAGATATAAATCTAGCTATAGCTGTCACACATAACAGTAACTGTTGTTCTGACTACAAGTTAGTTGTGATCTACAATAAGATGGAAATGGCGTATATTAGAAGTTACTTGAGCCCGTGGTTACTATTATCCTGCTGTAGTATTAGATATTTATTATATTTTTTTAAACGATAATAAAGCCGAGAGGAAGTCTTAATTATATGAAGAACCATATGGTTTCTCGTTCGGTCACTGATCCAATTTGGGATGAAAAGAGATAACAAAAGTGCAGAAGTTATTACAGATTGAATGCAACTTAACGTAGTTTATTTAAAAAAGCCACAACAGTTCCTGATACGCTTAGTGATTTGAACCGTTGTATATATGTGGCAAAGCATATAAACAGCAGTGCGATTACAGGATTATAGCCCTACTACGTTTAGGTCACAACTTTTTGAAGCAATATATTTTTCTGTTTGTTTTATCTTACCTCCTCCGAATAGAGAGCCATATAGGCAAACTCTTGTTGCATATTCTCCAACTTTTCCTGCTGCCCGAAACGCAATTGTTGGATAAGGGTCAGTTACTCTATTTGCCTCATATTCAGGATATCTTTCCCGCAGTATAATCCAACTCTTTCCCAGAAGAGTTCCGGTGAATGCTGATACGAGACCGCATATCACAAGCAAAGGCATTGCTGACAATAAAACGTGTATGTACTATGTATGTCTGAAGAAGTCTGACCTTGGTCGGACGAAACGTTACAGAAATATATTTGTGTTAGTGTGCAGCAAGACTCTTGAATCACTTAATTAAACAATAGTTTATGTTAGAAAATATTTTAAAACAGCAATTGAAACTTGGTCGTCATATGCAAGCAAACTACGGTGCTCCCGAAGTATGCGAACCAAGATGGCGGACATCGGAACGTAACATGGGTAACAGGTTAGGGTTAGGCGATAATTTCTTTCCAACTTTCCTTATTTTAGTCCTATTATTAGTTCGAAGACTAGCCAAGAGCCTCCCGTAGTATTTTTACCTAAAATTATGGCCTAACCCTAACCTATACACATATTACATTCCGATGTCCACCATCTTGGTTCGCATACTTCGGGAGCCCCCAAACTTATATATAACGTGGGTTTCTGCATGTAACAAACCGGACATGAAATAATCCGGTTCTAAACAAAAATTGACTCCATCTGAGTTGTTTAAGATATCATCATATCAACGACGTGTCGTATAAACACAAAAAAAACTTTACAACAAATTTTACTGCTACTGACTTCATTTTAACTAACTGTCTTCTGCGAGAAAATGTATGCAAGTTATATGACTCCACGATTTTGTATCGTATTGGTTTATTTTATCCAACAAAACTCAGTTTATGTATAGCCATGATACAGTAGCAAATTGTTCTTTGTTCATTATGACCGAGAGTGCACTTGAATCACACGAAATGCTGACAGAAGAAATATGCTAAGTATATTATTTGACATGGAGTCATTTCATTGCAATCCTAAACGAAACTATTAGTGAGTGATCAATTGCTATGAATGTCAGTTGTTTGTATGATTCATATGATATCACAAATGATACTTAGTGCTGTTTTAAAGGCGTGTACAAATAAATAAAATGAATAAAAAAACTTAAATTAGGTAAAAACTTAAAAAGGTTAGGTTTCAAATGATATGCCGGTAGAAATAGTACCATGTCGCACCGAAGTTCTGCAATCTTGCAGCTGATAAAAATTAATCTTTTTTTATTTTAAAAGCGTAAACGCGGCAAATACTTTGATACATTGGCAATACAACCACTTACGTACAACCTAGAATTTAGTCACGTGCTATTGATTACAAGAAATAAAGAAGAGTCTTCCATGATTGCGTGAACTATATTTAGAATTGAGAATTAGTTTTTCATGTAATGGTCTAACTAATTAACAGAACTAAATAACATTGACACAGTGGGAATTATATACAAATTGTAAATATACGGTTGAGGTTATTTCTCATCTGTATGGCAACGAATTCATGATGATTAGTATATACAATAGTAAGATAAGGCAATTTGTCACAACTTGAGTGAATCATTGAGGTTGAAACGAGAATATCGGTCAGAGACCGAAGACTTATCGATCGAAAGTCAGGGGATTCCCCAAAACAGCGCTCTTACTCCATAGTGACACCTTGTGTCCCATAACTAATTAATTATTAACTCGCTAATTATACGACATAATTCGCCCAAAATCAATAGGCTACTGGTACGAGATATGATGAATGCACATGCAAAATCTTCAGCAGATCCAATCTCACTTTCGTGAGATATCGCGTGCATCTAACAGACAAACAGATAGACAGATAAACAGACAAATACCTATCAACATACTTACCGATTAAAATCGATAAGTAATAAAGACATAAAATTAACTCACCTATCAATCCTCCATCTACAATAGCTTGTGGTATAGCCAATACTCCACTTCCGCATAATGTACCAATGATAAATACAGCAGCCATTCCAATCCCATAGCGTTTGTCGACCTAAAATATATTCAATTCACAATATGAAAAGGTGGCATTGTGGTCGACTTCATGAAAATGACATCCGTACTTGAGCGCCATTCACTCCTCAACTTAGTAAGCCAAGTTGCTTGTTATCAAATATCAGTTACTTACTTAGATGTATACAATCACAATTGACAGCACTGGCTCATTCCAATATTTGAGCGTTATCCATAAATCGTCTCACTTTTTTTTTAAATCAACTTCATCTTTTTACTCACTAATAATACCTACCTTTACTTTTGTTCCGATTTCCAGCAACGGCGCAATAGCTTCATCTTGCATTATATTTGACATTTATTTCAAAATTCTGAAAAATGATATAGCATTGCAAACGAACACGTGAATCAAAATATATTTCCAAAGAAGAAAAAATCTTATACGCAAAATGAAAGAATTACCTCCGTTAAAGTTGTTTGCTATCGAAATATTTTTAGAGAACATTTTGATTATTATTTCTCAAGTTTTTAATATGAATTTCGCTTTGTTTGAGAATTGCTGCTTCAATATTAAATTGTTTAGCATGACTATAACTGATATTTATCATTATTAGGCAATTTCTTATGAGGAAATGAAATTGAGTCAAGTTGCTTACACTTTCACTTTGGAAGTGTTTTCAATGGCGTATACGAGATGAAATTTTGTTTGTGAGACTGAGTTGCGCAGACACATCGCAAATGCGCCATATTGCATCAGATATTACAAATAGAATTATAATGTGACGAAAAAGTCGATTTTATCTCAGGATAACAACTTATTGTTCCAGATATACTTTTCATTTTATGGATGGAAATGAATGCTCAGGTGGTCCGTGATTTGTATGTAGGAATTACAAAATCAAAAGTGAGTAAAATGTGCTGAAATCTTTGTTGAAAATTTATCTTGTGCACGAAGCTTGCATGCCTGTCTGGCCATGATGTCGATTTTGCAGACAATAATGGGGATTTCAATACGGTCATATTTCTATACTTAATATGTATAGGTACATATGGGCCGTGTTTATATGTCGTTCTTAAATATGTTCATGAAGATTTTTTTACAGAAAGAAGTAGGAGTCATCGTTACTCATAAGGTAGGCGTTCAAAAACAAAATAATAATATTTTACGATCTATTTATGATCGCATTTCAACATGTCTGATATAATAGTTCTAAACAGACTTTCAACTCATGTGATGTTGTGTGAGTGATGTGTGGGAGGTTATTATGTCAGATAAACGTATTCAGTTACGAAATTGGTATTATTCAAAGATGAGAGTGAAAGTTCAAGATGTATGTAAATTGAAATTTGTAGTTCTGCAAGTTGTAACAGGCTTCAGAATTTGAACATTTCCTTGTATATTATATGAAATACAACTGCTCTAAAACTTGTAGACTGAAGAGTTATGGTAACATCCGCGTTTTCCATTTTACTATTTTCATTCTCGCGATAATTACGAATGGCTAAAACTACTGTAAACCTATCAAATTCCCTACAAACCGAAAATTACCTAAATGTACGTATGTAGCATTTCATTTTCTAAACTCGAAAGAAAATGTGATTTAATCATTCTACCATTCGAATGTTGATGCGGTCTTTGGAAATGACAACACATACAAACACCATAAGCAATATATGTAACATTTTAAGTATAATCTAATATTGAGCAACTGAGGAAGAGTCCTGCAGAGTGTTAACTCAGAAAAATGCAGCGTTTGTGTAAATAACTCAATGTTGTCCGATAACAATCCAACGGAAAATATTTTTAAATGAATGGAAATTTTTTTAAACTATTTTATTTTATTATAAAACAACCTGGCATATTGTTCTACATTTCTACGGTTCCTATACCACTAGCTGACAAATTTTACTTATTTTCCTCTTCTAACCCCTTTCAGCCATAAAAATATTAACAATTCAAAATTTTCTGATTTAAACAAGCTGCAGCAGAAGTTACAACTGCACACTAATTGTACAGTCTGCAATATTAATAGCTTTACATGTATTGCACAATAATCAATGACATTTATCATTAGCGCGAATGATCATCTATGGCTATATCTTATGACAGCTACATCATGTGATAGTAATTTCTCATGAGAGACTTGAACAGTAATGCTTAAAAGCAGACTCGTTCAACCGTTTTTGTTTGCACCAAATGTTTTGCCCGATGAATCGATTTTTATGAACTTTGTTTGGAATTTAATGATATGTTTTACGTTTCAATGGAACACAGTAAATGTGTAATTTCTGTCATGTAAATTTTCAGTTCAGTTTTTTTTCACTGCTTATGATTACAAAAATTCTATTTAACCATATTTATTTTTTTGGTAATTTGAAATGCAGCAAACACAGAAAAATGGAAATGTTGGTTAAAAAGAAATGTTAGTTATCTACAGAGGCAATAGTATAACTTCTATTAAGACGACCTCTGACCTCTTTAAATAAAACGATTTTCATAACGAAGGTATAAGAAAAGTCCTCTTGTTTGTACATTTTGATTAATAGAGATATTTTTCGCGTTGTGGATTGAACACCTACACCACTTTCGTACAAAGCAAAACGAAAAATATACTCAGATAGTATTTTGGGAAGAATTACTTGTAACTGTGCCAATTGAAGCAATTTGAATTCAATATAATGAATGTTTATATATGTATAAAACGCTCGCATATAGTTTAAAATTGACTCCCTTAATCGTTATAGAGTTTTCAATGGTTACACGCTAAGATAAATTCAGTGTATATATATTTACTAAACCTTTGATACTTTATAATTATCTTGTTCATAGATGTTACGTTTTTTTCTAGTTTTATCTGTAAGTTTCAACTTTACCAAATTTCACGTTGTTTTCATCTCCTTTATTTTTCATCTCGCGCTATCGTTCCGACGCACGAGTATCCTCACATTAGTACATCGACTTATCCAATAATTACTAAATTAATGGACATCTTCGTATTAAGAAACCGAGATATTAAATATGGCACGCTTCCATCTGAATACAGTTATAATAATTCTGAAGGCTATATTCTATGATGGCAAAGAAATATATTTTTCTTTTATTATTGATGGTTTATATATAATATGAATACGATCAAATGAAAATACATGAAAAAATAGGCACGTTATGATTTAAATGGCCTCAGTTACTACGAATACGTCCTAGTTGCATGCCTGACCATGAATGTTTCTAGCAAGCATAAAAAAACGGTACTCCGGTAGTATGTGTACCAGGTTAGGCCATAATTTTATTCTAATTCTTATTGTTTTAGTTATATTACGAGTTCGGGAACAGTCTGTGTTAGCCACATAAATATATCCCCTGTCCATAGGTTTAAGTCCCTTTACACAATTTGACGTAAAATAGGCGAACAAAGTTAGTTACCTCCATATTGGTACACATAATTCTGGAGCGCCAAAAAAACTAACCAACCAAGGCAAATCTCGCACAATATTTATTGAAACAATGAATTTAGGAAACAAAATTTGTATATTTCAGTTCTGATCGACTTATTTCCATCTCGATAGGAAGAATAAGTTACGTGTTATTTCACGTTCTCCAGGCCATAAATTGACTTTGATCCTGAAATTTTAAATATTACTAATTTTACATGCTCAAATAAAATTTTAGGCGAGGTTTAATTTACAGTAAATTGGCGACATATCCCGATTCTAATAGGAGTTGAAAGCAATCAAAAGTATTTATATTATCATTTATCATGCAATTTCGTATTCGTATATTATTATGAGTGTCCTACTGAAGTGTAAACGAAAAATATCCTGCTTCTTCCGCCCAATTAGGTTCAAAATGTTTGTGGTGACAAAATATATCGATTCTTAAAGAAGTTGAAAGCAGTTTTCATATTGTTATGCAATTTTGTACGCTTTTATGAGTAACGTAATGTAGCCTAAATGCAACATTATGCATATTTCACTCAATTGGTTTAAAAATTTAAGTGGCGATGCCTTCGTTTTGGTCAAACTACGTTGATACAGAAGGTTAAGTAATCTCGTACTTGTGCCTTAGCCAACCAGGCCATCGCTTACCCAAGCCCCTTAAATGGAGTGTACGAAAGTCGGTAAGATATGCTGAACAACAAAATTCGAAAACCAACAACACCTTACATAACGCCTTCTGAGTGTGTGAACACTTTAAAAATCATTGCGCCTGATTATAACCCCGAAATCGAATTGTGAGGGATTTTACTACTTTTTTAAAAAGTGTAATTGTGTAAATTGTTCGTTCAATATTGTTCAAACAATACATGCAAGTATGCACCGGAGTTGCATTATTGGTGTCCAATTCATTGCATGCGCGAAACATTCTATTAATAATCAACAATTTGTGCTATTACAAAAATAAAAAATTCCACTAAAAGTTTTTAGTAATTTAAAACATAATATTTGTGTGCTTTTTGAATAATATACAAAAAATAAGATTCAGATACTTCAAGTCTCATACTTGACTCATATGTATTTATTATATCAATTGTATTCCAATACGATAAGTATAACGCACAGTCTAGCTAACTGGCAAGTTTCGCAATAGTATAGGTTTACAGTATATGTCACCTGAAAAATCATGTGACTTGAAATTTGAGAGTTGATATGTGCCTGTTTACTACAACTTTAGCTGTCAGAAATAGTCTGTTTGATTTTGATATATGTTGCATTTGCAGTGGTCAGTATTGTTTGAGAATATTTCCAGACAATTTCAGACAAGCGTATAACCTGATAGGTCAAACTATAGGCATGGTATAGGTTGAAAGACGCATTCAAGGACATACTGAAAAATGATATTGAAAGATAATTAGAGACACTTTGCCCTTCTTCGAATGAAAAAATAATTTTGACTGTAATATATTGCCATTTTATAACATCTCTCGCAGATTTAAATAGGAAAATTATCTTATAGACAAGCTATCTATTCAATATGCCGTAACAGGTATTCACGACAGTGTGCGTACGTGTTCAGTTTCAAATCTGAACTTATTGATTACGGATGACTTCATAACGTATTTAGACAGTTATTTTCATTAAATATATCATTTAGTTAATAATGAAGCCCGCAAAGCGAGATATTAGCCAGCGTTAATGAAAACTTTTGAAGTTGCACCTCTCAAGATGTTTATAAGTTTAATAAAATGCAGGCATTTTGAGTTCATGAGAAAACAAATATTTTAACAGTATGGAGAAATATACAGTTGAAAGCGTAGATAAAATATAATATATGTTACGTGTTTGACTACTAGTAATGACACTACTTCTGAATTTTTCGATCGGTTTCAGATTTCAATGAAGAAATATATGTATTTTTTAGACCATATCGATACTGGCATTTAATTTCATATAGTTTGGAAATATAATGAATTTAGAGAATTTTTTTTAATATAGAATGAAATTGTTGTTAGCTTATACAAAATACTCAATTAATAGAGTATTGATGTTAATTAAAAGTCGGTTTCCTTTGAGGTCATACAATGGTTTCTACTATTTTCTATAACTATGTTTCGCAGTACAGGTTACGAGGATGCGAATACCAACAGTAATCATTGCAATTGTACATATTTATTGCTATTCCAGATTACAATCATGGTTTGTCTTGTGGAAGCCTATAATAACATTACCTAATCTGGGTGTGTACGAAATTAGGAATATTATGAGGAAATAAACACAATATATCGTCAGGAACACATTTACCTCATCACACTATCGTAAACTACGTTCCATTTTATGAGCATCGTAGCCGAGGAGATGGCGCGAGCGAGGCAGAATCACCAACCAAAGAAAAGCCGAGTAAGAAAACTAAAACTCCGTCTCCAGATGGAACGACGTTTCAAAAAGAAGTATCAAAAGCTTTGGAGAAAAATACCACAGAAAAAAGAGCACCGAGTGCGTTGAAGTATTCGAGATCAAATTCGCCAGACTGGCCTGGAGCTTCTGCAAAGCACGTATCAACATACGGCAAGCAAGAAAAGAAACGCGTACGTTTCAGTTCAGCTGTAACTGATAAAATGGAGGAACCTCCCTACGTCGAAACTCTTCTTCACTCAGTAAGCAAGAAGCTACAACGTGGAGTTAAAGAAGGCTGGGCAGCTGCCGATGAGTCAAAGGAAAACAAGATCGAAATAAAAACGAGAGAAAAGCTACGCCAAATGAAAGCAATTTGGACGAGGAAGAAGATTCGAGTAATTTCGTGTCCCCAATTACAAGAGTAACTGTTACGAGGCGCAAAATACAACAAGAAGAACAAAACACACGTGGAAATCTTTCGCAACAGCAAGTTAAAACTGTCCCTACAAAACCATATTCTCAACAGAAGATTTTAGATTTGGCAACCAAGATTATCAGTAATTCAGTAAATTTGCAAAATACAGCGCACGATAGCACAGAAAACGCAAATGCACCATCGGAAGTACAGACCTCAAGACCTCCTACACGAAATGCGACCGGTTTCGTCGCAGCTCGACCCACGAGGAAAGGAAATATCATGCCTATATCTAAGTATGTACAAAACAAACAGGCAATTATTTCTCCATCTTTTCCGGATCAAGCACCAAAACAACGAAAAACATTTATGTCGTATTCTGCTAAGTTGAATCGAAGCGATGGAGCACGCAAACAGACAAATATTATTGAACCTCCTAAATTACAAGTGCGAGAGCGCCAATCGTCAAAGTCAACAAAAACTCTGCCGTTAGCTATCGACAAACAGTACCTTTGAGTGGTCAACCACAAAAACAACCAGTGCAATACATTTCGTTAGATTTAAAAATTAATAATTTAGCACATTCTCCAAGAACTTCTATGCTACCGGACTCTCCAAGGTCTCAACATTGTTGTCCGCACACGCAACACATTTTCAGCCTATTCCATCCATGCCAGACCATAATTTTTGTGATCCTGGTAAAACAGAACATATTTTGAATGGTTGAATGATGTCAACAAGAAGCGTAATATAGAATCAAAATTCAAACGTATTTCATCATCTGTCCCAAAACTGTCAGTTGATGATCATAAACAAACCAAAAAAGGTTAAAAATATAGAGGAAATAATGCAGATACAAGATAAACAAAACATCAGATTGAAAACGGTCACGATTTTTGCACAGTTTACTCCTGCACTAGAGTTGAAGTATCGGCTTATTACAAAAGTTACGTTTTTTATGTTTATTTATTTATTGCACGTTTTTCTCTTTTGATAAAATATTTTCACAATAAAAAATATAAAGATATATGTGTTCAAAAGTAGCTAAGTGAAATGTGTTTTGAAATTAGGTTCTTCAAATAAACCTCAATCACATAAATCAACTCAATCAGTCTTTAGGGTCAATGATAATATAATGAATTCTGAGTTGTTTTTACAAGATTAATTTCAAGAACTTTACTTCCAGAATAAAATTTAGAAATGTGTATTCATGCATATCAGAAAACCTATAAAACCTTTCGTCATGTCGGATAAAAAGTATTTTCGAATATGACAACATTAATTACTATATATACTATTATCTATTAGATCATTATAGTTTGCTTTTAAAAAGACAAACTCCCAGAATTTCGTAGCGCGCCATAACAAATAACTCAAATATACTGTCCTCAGAGGCAATATATATAGAAAAATTGTGAAAGTTCATTAGTTTGTTATTAAGCAATATTTTATCTGCTAGAGATATTTCAAATTTTTTCACATTTTTATTCTTATACAGAGTGATAGAAATGCTTTGGAAGCATAGAGTATACAAATGGACATAATATCCGTGGCTACAGACAAACATTTCCTAAGAATACAGTCATAAAAAGTTGGTTTCACAGGTTGTTTTACCATTCTTAGAAATCTACCACGAATCAACCTACCGATGCATTAACATAACAAGGTACAGTGAAACCAGAGGATCCTGTTACCAAAGACTGGATCGCAAAGTAAGTTGAAGAAACACCGGCATCCACTCCAAAATGATGATTTCAAACAGGAAGACTTTCATATGAAGACTTAGCTTCTTGCTTCCAACTGTAATTTGATTCTAATGCTCTGTAGTTATTAGCTGGTCTATGCGGATGCAGCATGTGCTCCGGTAGTGGCCCGTAGGCGTCTTCAGGCTTCTGTTGCCTTGATAATAAGTAGTAAAATAACGGCGGGAAGACCACACAGGTGCAGCCAATTAAAGAGCCTCCAACTAAGGAAAGTATAACGTTGAAATGTGGAATGCTGAGAGCGACGAATAATACAGCAAGCATATAGATTGTGCGAGTCATCACACGCTTCCAAGTGAATTCTGAAAATTATATTTAGTTAATAGCATCACAAACACTCTAATTTTCTGCCAAAAATAATGATATTATTTTGTTATTATAATTGGTTTTTTCCTCACTTCCACGAGTTTAATTAGTACCAAAATACAAAACAAAAAATATTTGGAAAATATATTTTATTAATATATCATCATTCATTTTTTAGCATCTGTCTGGTTCGAGGTAGTATCAAAGTTTCAGCGATTCTGTGATTTTATACTAATAAGTCTCTTTCTCAACAGATATTTAGGAAAGGTAATAGGTTGAGAGGATCACCTTTAAATTCACAAGTGCAGTAGATATAATTATGATTTATTCCACTTACTTTTCTAAGTATAATGAAGTGAATTATCTGTTTTTCAATAATAAGAAAAATTTCCAATAATTCTTACGCCGTATATATGGGGTGCCTGGGGGAATGACAATGGTTTAGAGTAAATATCATTGGGTTGTGAAATCTATCAATCCGATTGTTATTTACATACATAAAACTTACTTTCTGGAATATTTAGGAAACCTTCAATTTCTTGCGTCACTGGATTTGAAATAATAACGAATGCCATTAATAGATGTGATGTAATCAAGATGTTGATTGTGTACGAAATCCATCCAGGGGACAAAGCAGATAATACGTTAGGTTTCATGTCGTTGCCAAATACGAAATATCCGGCAGCTCCAGCAGGGAAATAGAGAAAGATTACAACCTGAGGATTTTTAGAAATTAAAAAAAACAATTGACATTGACGACGGTTCTCAGCTCTAGAAATCGTGAATTTTGCACTTAAAACTGAATTGTTAATAATGGAGAAATTTACAATTTCATACCCATTTCTTTTTATTGACAACAAAAATATGGAACACGTTATTTGCGAAATTATATATCTTGATTTGACATGCGTTATTCTTATTTGATAAAATCATGTCGCTTCAAATGACACATAAAATCCACTAGCAACACTACGTGCTTAGTTATTGGGCACTAGATGTACCTTTGAGACGTTTTTGGGCACAAATGGACCAAAACGAATGAACGAATCAATTTCATTAAAGATGGTTGAAACGCTAGCAAGCTATTGTACTTTCAATTTTTTAAAATTCCTTTTGGGTCGGACTCGATATTTCATCAAAAAATTCCGTTTTATTTTAATTTGAAGTGAACGCTTTTTATTTCACCATACCCACTTTATAATATGTTTGAACGGATCCGTCATTACCGGTCCGCCAATTTCCACGGTGAAACGCTCCTAACGAAATTTGAGCTATGCTCTTTTGCTACGATTTCAATGCTATAAGTTTAACATCTGGAACAAGTGTAGGGCTGAAGAGCATCATTTAGCGGAGTATATTGATTTAGTGTACCTACTTACCAATTAATTCCCAAAACAACTGCTGTATTAAATTTATTTTGGATTTTTCATATCAACTTGTATTGTAGGAAAGCAACTAGCTCCACCAAACGCATAAACGATAACTCCAAATGAATTGAAAAACGACGAGGCTGTTGGTTCTGGTCTGTATGACTCAACATGTTCGGGTGCATCCTGAAATGCATCAGATAGATAAAACTTATTTTGATACATTTGCAAAAATAAAGTAATACACACACAAAAAAATTGAGGCGACCAATCTGGGAATGAACAAAACTTAAAAATAAGTTTAAAATGCATTACACGTGTTCACCCACCAAAAGAGAAGGGAAACAAGTCACAAACAAACCTGAACAAATAGACATGAATATCGGCGACAGTAGTTATTCAGGCATCTCACTTTGTAATAGGTTAGTATTTCGGCATTTTGATATTTTTCTTTCATATTAAAACATCAGTAAGGATTTGGGCCAACAAACTCCTATAAAATATGGGATAATAAAAATCGAGTTTCTCTGAAAATGCAGTGTTTTTATAATTAGGTACAACCTACTGGTTTTTTAATTGTACTTGTTAAAAGGCGCTGATAATAATACGAGAAGGTTTTAAGACTGAATCTAATTTCAAAAGAAAATTATTTCAGACCGGATTTAATATTCATCATGTGCTGAATGATGAAGTTTACCTGAACTATTCCAGCTACGATTAACAAAGCTCCTATTGTGGTTGTTGCAGCAGCAATTAGACCTGCATACCAGAAATCTTTCGGAGTTCCAATCCAAGAAAGTGGAGTAAGTATGCAGAATACTATCATCATCATGTAGCAAGGATAAAATCGAATTCCACCCATAGACTGCAGAAGATTTGTTGTGTTGTCGGAAATCAAAAGAAGAAAAACTGTACCTGATATGAAAGATATAAAATCTAGCTATAGCTGTCACACATAACAGTAACTGTTGTTCTGACTACAAGTTAGTTGTGATCTACAATAAGATGGAAATGGCGTATATTAGAAGTTACTTGAGCCCGTGGTTACTATTATCCTGCTGTAGTATTAGATATTTATTATATTTTTTTAAACGATAATAAAGCCGAGAGGAAGTCTTAATTATATGAAGAACCATATGGTTTCTCGTTCGGTCACTGATCCAATTTGGGATGAAAAGAGATAACAAAATGTAGAAGTTATTACAGATTGGATGCAACTTAACGTAGTTTATTTCAAAAAAGTTACAACAGTTCCTGATACGCTTAGTGATTTGAACCGTTATATATATGTGACAAACCTTTTAAACAGCAGTGCGATTACAGGATTATATCCCTACTACGTTTAGGTCACAACTTTTTGAAGCAATATATTTTTCTGCTTGTTTTATCTCACCTCCTCCGAATAGAGAGCCATATAGGCAAACTCTTGTTGCATATTCTCCAACTTTTCCTGCTGCCCGAAACGCAATTGTTGGATAAGGGTCAGTTACTCTATTTGCCTCATATTCAGGATATCTTTCCCGCAGTATAATCCAACTCTTTCCCAGAAGAGTTCCGGTGAATGCTGATACGAGACCGCATATCACAAGCAAAGGCATTGCTGACAATAAAACGTGTATGTACTATGTATGTCTGAAGAAGTCTGACCTTGGTCAGACGAAACGTTACAGAAATATATTTGTGTTAGTGTGCAGCAAGACTCTTGAATCACTTAATTAAACAATAGTTTATGTTAGAAAATATTTTAAAACAGCAATTGAAACTTGGTCGTCATATGCAAGCAAACTACGGTGCTCCCGAAGTATGCGAACCAAGATGGCGGACATCGGAACGTAACATGGGTAACAGGTTAGGGTTAGGCGATAATTTCTTTCCAATTTTCCTTATTTTAGTCCTATTATTAGTTCGAAGACTAGCCAAGAGCCTCCCGTAGTATTTATACCTAAAATTATGGCCTAACCCTAACCTATACACATATTACATTCCGATGTCCACCATCTTGGTTCGCATACTTCGGGAGCCCCCAAACTTATATATAACGTGGGTTTCTGCATGTAACAAACCGGACATGAAATAATCCGGTTCTAAACAAAAATTGACTCCATCTGAGTTGTTTAAGATATCATCATATCAACGACGTGTCGTATAAACACAAAAAAAACTTTACAACAAATTTTACTGCTACTGACTTCATTTTAACTAACTGTCTTCTGCGAGAAAATGTATGCAAGTTATATGACTCCACGATTTTGTATCGTATTGGTTTATTTTATCCAACAAAACTCAGTTTATGTATAGCCATGATACAGTAGCAAATTGTTCTTTGTTCATTATGACCGAGAGTGCACTTGAATCACACGAAATGCTGACAGAAGAAATATGCTAAGTATATTATTTGACATGGAGTCATTTCATTGCAATCCTAAACGAAACTATTAGTGAGTGATCAATTGCTATGAATGTCAGTTGTTTGTATGATTCATATGATATCACAAATGATACTTAGTGCTGTTTTAAAGGCGTGTACAAATAAATAAAATGAATAAAAAAACTTAAATTAGGTAAAAACTTAAAAAGGTTAGGTTTCAAATGATATGCCGGTAGAAATAGTACCATGTCGCATCGAAGTTCTGCAATCTTGCAGCTGATAAAAATTAATCTTTTTTATTTTAAAAGCGTAAACACGGCAAATACTTTGATACATTGGCAATACAACCACTTACGTACAACCTAGAATTTAGTCACGTGCTATTGATTACAAGAAATAAAGAAGGGTCTTCCATGATTGCGTGAACTATATTTAGAATTGAGAATTAGTTTTTCATGTAATAGTCTAACTAAATAACAGAACTAAATAACATTGACACAGTGGGAATTACATACAAATTGTAAATATACGGTTGAGGTTATTTCTCATCTGTATGGCAACGAATTCATGATGATTAGTATATACAATAGTAAGATAAGGCAATTTGTCATAACTTGAGTGAATCATTGAGGTTGAAACGAGAATATCGGTCAGAGACCGAAAACTTATCGATCGAAAGTCAGGGGATTCCCCAAAACAGCGCTCTTACTCCATAGTGACACCTTGTATCCCATAACTAATTAATTTATAACTCGCTAATTATACGACATAATTCGCCCAAAATCAATAGGCTACTGGTACAAGATATGATGAAAGGACATGCAAAATTTTCAGCAGATCCAATCTCACTTTCGTGAGATATCGCGTGCATCTAACAGACAAACAGACAGACAGATGAACAGACAAATACCTATCAACATACTTACCGATTAAAATCGATAACTGATAAAGACATAAAATTAACTCACCTATCCATCCTCCATCTACAATAGCTTGCGGTATAGCCAATACTCCACTTCCGCATAATGTACCAATGATAAATACAGCAGCCATTCCAATCCCATAGCGTTTGTCGACCTAAAATATATTCAATTCACAAAAAGAAAAGGTGGCATTGTGGTCGACTTCATGAAAATGACATCCGTACTTGAGCGTCATTCACACCTCAACTTAGTAAGCCAAGTTGCTTGTTATCAAATATCAGTTACTTGCTTAGATGTATACAATCACAATTGACAGAACTGGCTCATTTCCCAAATTATTACTTATCGATCTTAAGATCGGTAAGTATATTGATAGGTATTTGTATGTATGTCTGTCTGTCTGTCTGTCTGTCTGTGTGTCTGTTAGATGCACGCGATATCTCACGAAAGCGAGATTGAATCTGCTCCAGATTTTGCATGTGCATTCATCTTATCTCGGACCAGATTCCTATTGATTTTGGGCGAATTATGTCGTATAATTAGAGAGTTATCAATCAATTATTGATTAAGTGATCTAGATTTTTGTAAAGCGAGAGAATTTTGAGACCCGCCGAGTGTGTGTGTGCGATGCGCAGTGCGCAAGTTACACGAGCGGATGAATCGAAACTGCAGTTTCTGTTTTGGGGGATCCCCTAACTATCGATCGATAAGTATTCGGTTTCCAACCGATATTCTAGTTTGAGCGTTATTCATAAATCGTAAACTTCATCTTTTTACTCACTAACAATTCTTACCTTCACTTTTGTTCCAATTTCCAGCAACGGCGCAATAGCTTCATCTTGCATTATATTTGACATTTATTTCAAAATTCTGAAAATGATATAGCATTGCAAACGAACACGTGAATCAAAATATATTTCCAAAGAAGAAAAAATCTTATACGCAAAATGAAAGAATTACCTCCGTTAAAATTGTTTGCTATCGAAATATTTTTAGATAACATTTTGATTACCAGTTTTAAGCGCAAAAGCAATACTTCTTATTTCTCAAGTTTCTAATATGAATTTCGCTTTGTCTGAGAATTGCTTCGTAAATATTAAATTGTTTAGCATGACTATAACTAATATTTATCAATATAAGGCAATTTCTTATGAGGAAATGAAATTGAGTCAAGCTGCTTACACTTTCACTTTGGAAGTGTTTTCGATGACGTGCGAGATAAATTTTGTTTGTGAGACTGAGTTGCGCAGACACATCGCAAATGCGCCATATTGCATCAGATATTACAAATGGAATATTAATGTGACGGAAGGGTCGATTTTATCTCAAGATAGCAACTTATTGTTCCAGATATACTTTTCATTTTAATATGAATAAGAAAATATGCTACAGTATAAGAATAACGTTTTGAAATATGTGCTCACGGTCCTAACCTAATAGAGTTTCTATAGTTTAGTATTCTCATTACCCACTTGTTATAAATGAAAGTTATTTCATTAGTTACAAATAGCGAGAAATGAAAATAAGTTTGAATTGAAAATAAATATATGCTCTGTCTACATAATATATTGAAATAATGGAATATAAACATCCATACTACTTAGATTTTCATAAAGTGAATTGAGTACTCCTGAAGTATGCGCACCAAGATGTCGCACAACCTGAACCCTAACCTGGTACACAACCCGAGTTCAGGTGAAGTAAAGTGAGTAAAATGTGCTGAAATCTTCAAAAATTTGGTTTTTGTTGAAAATATAAATTGTGCCCGAAGCGTGCATGCCTGTTTGGTCATGATGTCGATTTTGCAGACAATAATGGGGATTTCCATACGGTCATATTTTCATACTTAATATGTATAGGTACATATGGGCCGTGTTTATATGTCGTTCTTAAATATGTTCATGAAGGTTTTTTTACAGAAAGAAGTAGGAGTCATCGTTACTCATAAGGTAGGCGTTCAAAAACAAAATAATAATATTTTACGATCTATTTATGATATAATAGTTCTAAACAGACTTTCAACTCATGTGATGTTGTGTGAGTGATGTGTGGGAGGTTATTATGTCAGATAAACGTATTCAGTTACGAAATTGGTATTATTCAAAGATAAAAGTGAAAGTTCAAGATGTATGTAAATTGAAATTTGTAATTGTGCAAGTTGTAACAGGCTTCAGAATTTGAACATTCCCTTGTATATTATATGAAATACAACTGCTCTAAAACTTGTAGACTGAAGAGTTATGGTAACATCCGCGTTTTCCATTTTACTATTTTCATTCTCGCGATAATTACGAATGGCTAAAACTACTGTAAACCTATCAAATTCCCTACAAACCGAAAATTACCTAAATGTACGTATGTAGCATTTCATTTTCTAAACTCGAAAGAAAATGTGATTTAATCATTCTACCATTCGAATGTTGATGCGGTCTTTGGAAATGACAACACATACAAACACCATAAGCAATATATGTAACATTTTTAGTATAATCTAATATTGAGCAACTGAGGAAGAGTCCTGCAGAGTGTTAACTCAGATAAATGCAGCGTTTGTGTAACTAACTCAATGTTATCTGATAACAATCCAACGGAAAAAAAATATTTTGAAATGAATGGAAAATTTTTTTTATTTTTTATTTTTTTTTAATTTTTTTATAAAACCGCCTGGCATATTGTTTTTACATTTATACGGTTCCTATACCACTAGCTGACAAATGTTACTTATTTTCCTCTTCTAACCCCCTTCAGCCATAAAAATACTAACAATTCAAAATTTTCTGATTTAAACAAGCTGCAGCAGAAGTTACAACTGCACACTAATTGTACAGTCTGCAATATTAATAGCTTTACATGTATTGCATAATAATCAATGACATTTATCATTAGCGCGAATGATCATCTATGGCTATATCTTATGACAGCTACATCATGTGATAGTAATTTCTCATGAGAGACTTGAACAGTAATGCTGAAAAGCAGACTCGTTCAACCGTTTTTGTTTGCACCAAATGTTTTGCCCGATGAATCGATTTTTATGAACTTTGTTTGAAATTTAATGATATGTTTTACGCTTCAATGGAATACAGTAAATATGTGTTATTTCTGTCATGTCAATTTTCAGTTCAGTTTTTGTCACTGCTTATGATTACAAAAATTCTACTTAACCATATTTATTTTTTGGTAATTTGAAATGCAGCAAACACAGAAGAATCGAAATGTTGGTTGAAAAGAAATGTTAGTTATCTACAGAGGCAATAATATAACTTCTAATAGGACGACCTCTGACCTCTTTAAATGAAACGATTTTCATAACGAAGGTATAAGAAAAGTCCTCTTGTTTGTACATTTTGATTAATAGAGATATTTTTCGCGTTGTGGATTGAACACCTACACCACTTTCGTACAAAGCAAAACGAAAAATATACTCAGATAGTATTTTGGGAAGAATTACTTGTAACTGTGCCAATTGAAGCAATTTGAATTCAATATAATGAATGTTTATATATGTATAAAACGCCCGCATGTAGTTCAAAATTGACTCTATAAATCGTTATAGAGTTTTCAATGGTTACACGCTAGGATAAATTTAGTGTATATATATATTTACTAAACCTTTGATACTTTATAATTATCTTGTTCATAGATGATACGTTTTTTCTAGTTTATCTGTAAGTTTCAACCAAAATTCACGTTGTTTTCATCTGTTTTATTTTCCATCTCGCACTATCGTTTCGGCGCACGAGGTATCCTCACATTAGTATGTCAAAATACTGAATAATCACTAAATTAATGGACATCTTCGTATTAAGAAACCGAGATATTAAATATGGCACGCCTCGTTCTGATTACAGCTATAATTATACTGAAGGCTATATTCTTATAATGGCAAAGAAATATATTTTTCTTCTATTATTGATGGTATATATATAATATGAATACGATCGAATGAATATACATGAAAAAATAGGCACGTTATGATTCAAATGACCTCAGTTACTACGTATACGTCCTAGTCGCATGCCTGACCATGAATGTTTCTAGCAAGCATAAAAAAACGGTACTCCGGAAGTATGTGTACCAGGTTAGGCCATAATTTTATTCTAATTCTTATTGTTTTAGTTATATTACGAGTTCGGGAACAGTCTGTGTTAGCCACATAAATATAACCTCTGTCCATAGGTTTAAGTCCCGTTACACAACTTGACGTAAAATAGACGAACAAAGATTGTTACCTCCATATTGGTACACATACTTCTAGAGCGCCAAAAAAACTAACCAACCAAGGCAAATCTCGCACAATATTTATTCTGAAACAATGAATTTAGGAAACAAAATTTGTATATTTCAGTTCTGATCAACTTATTTCCATCTCGATAGGAAGAATAAGTTACGTGTTATTTCACGTTCTCCAGGCCATAAATTGACTATGATCCTGAAATTCTAAATATTACTAATTTTACATGCTCAAATACAATTTTAGGCGAGGTTTAATTTACAGTAAATTGGCGACATACCCCGATTCTAATAGGAGTTGAAAGCAATCAAAAGTGTTTATATTATCATGCAATTTCGTATTCGTATATTATTATGAGTGTCCTACTGAAGTGTAAACGAAAAATGTCCTGCTTCTTCCGCCCAATTAGGTTTAAAATGTTTGTGGTGACAAAATATATCGATTCTTAAAGAAGTTGAAAGCAGTTTAAAGTCTTCATATTGTTATGCAATTTTGTACGCTTTTATGAGTAACGTAATGTAGCCTAAATGCAACATTATGCATATTTCACTCAATTGGTTTAAAATTTAAGTGGCGATGCCTTCGTTTTGGTCAAACTACGTTGATACAGAGGGTTAAGTAATCTCGTACTTGTGCCTTAGCCAACCAGGCCATCGCTTACCCAAGACCCCTAAATGGAGTGACGAAAGTCGGTAAGTTATGCTGAACAACGAAAATTCGAAAACCAACAACACCTTACGTAACGCCTTCTGAGTGTGTGAACACTTTAAAAATCATTGCGCCTGATTATAACCCCGAAATCGAATTGTGAGGGATTTTACTACTTTTTTAAAAGTGTAATTGTGTAAATTGTTCGTTCAATATTGTTCAAACAATACATGCAAGTATGCACCGGAGTTGCATTATTGGTGTCCAATTCATTGCATGCGCGAAACATTCTATTAATAATCAACAATTTGTGCTATTACAAAAATAAAAAATTCCACTAAAAGTTTTTAGTAATTTAAAACATAATATTTGTGTGCTTTTTGAATAATATACAAAAAATAAGATTCAGATACTTCAAGTCTCATACTTGACTCATATGTATTTATTATATCAATTGTATTCCAATACGATAAGTATAACGCACAGTCTAGCTAACTGGCAAGTTTCGCAATAGTATAGGTTTACAGTATAGGTCACCTGAAAAATCATGTGACTTGAAATTTAAGAGTTGATATGTGCCTGTTTACTACAACTTTAGCTGTCAGAAATAGTCTGTTTGATTTTGATATATGTTGCATTTGCAGTGGTCAGTATTGTTTGAGAATATTTCCAAACAATTTCAGACAAGCGTATAACCTGATAGGTCAAACTATAGACATGGTATAGGTTGAAAGACGCATTCAAGGACATACTGAAAAATGATATTGAAAGATAATTAGAGACACTTTGCCCTTCTTCGAATGAAAAAATAATTTTGATTGTAATATATTGCCATTTTATAACATCTTTCGCAGATTTAAATAGGAAAATTATCTTATAGGCAAGCTATCTATTCAAAATGCCGTAACAGGTATTCACGACTGTGTGCGTACGTGTTCAGTTTCAAATCTGAACTTATTGATTACGAATGACTTTCATAACGTATTTAGACAGTTCTTTTTATTAAATATATCATTTAGTTAATAATGAAGCCCGCAAA